ATTATGATAATTTAGTAATGAAATAAATCTGATGATAATACCTTATTAATAAATAAATTATTTTAATTTATGTGCATTTATTTTAAGAATTGATATTTATTCATTAATGAATTATTATCATCTGATTCATTGATAATATATAAAATCTATACACTGACAGTATATCAACTATAAACTCATAAAATTATGTGTCATTTGAAAAATAGACATCAATTTAAGACAAAAGAGTATTAACTATGTGAAAAACAAATGCAATTAAATAGATAAATTTGGGTTAAAATTCTGAAAAAAAATTCTTAAATTTTATCACTTTACTTAAATAAATCTTTATATTTTTATTCCATATAAATAAATTTTTTATTTTGATTTATATTAAAAAAAATTTATTTCAAAGCAATTACTATAATTTTTCTAGTTCTCTTTAATTATATAAGAATTAATTTTTTTTATATAAGTACAAGTTTTACTTGAAGTATTTATAATTGTGAGATATTGATGTCTTTCATGTATTATGTATTATGTTAATAACTTATTTAAATATGAATTAAAAGTTAAAAACTTTTTTAGATAAATTAAAGGTTAAATTTTTTTAAATACAAATTAAAATTTAAAAATTTATTTAAATATAAAAAATATAAAAACTTATCTAAATAAAATAATAAAATTCAAAAACTATTTTTATTATTTTAACGGCAATTTTGTGATTATTCCATGTGAGATAAGCCAGGATATGCATGATACAACATCAAACCTCACAAAAGAAAAACAAAGTTAGACAAAGTTAAAAAGTACTATCTTTGTCCATTTAAAGTGCTACTGTATTTTTGTCCTCCGCTCCTTGATGTAGTCGCAAAGAAGCATTGAGAAAGACACGAGGATTTGGGTTTCCCAAATCAATCCCCCCCCCCCCCTCCCCCCCCTTTTCTAATATAATTTTAAGGGTTTTTATAATTTTGTTTTAATCAAATTAATAAATTGAATCGATTTAATTTAATTAATTAATTAATTATTAAATTAATTTTAAATAAATTTTAATTTTTGATTAATTCGATTCAAAAATCGAATTAATCAAATATTATAAAAATTTATATAAAATTAAAAATATATAAATTATTTATTTCATTTCAAAGTTTTTAACTTAATAATTTTGTGTTTGAATTTTTTTTTGGATGATTTTATTTAATTTTTTTTACATATGAGAAAAAAAGAATTGAAAATATAATTTAACTTAATGTGTTTTATTATTCAGTTAACAAAAAATTAACTGAATTGACTAAATTAATTTTAATAAGTTAATTTTTAAAATTAAAAATTTGATTTGATAAATAAAAATAAAAGAATATAATTCAATTAATATAATTTTGAATAATTTATTTTCAAATTAATCAAACCAAGTAAATGAAAATCCCTATATATAATAGGATTTTGCCCCCTATGAATAAAAAAAAAATTGCAAATGTTGCCATTAATTATTAAGTATAATTAAAATTTATTTTTTTTATTTTGGCCAATGAATTAAAATTAAGTTTTTTAAGATATTACAAAGAAATTTGGCTTAACGATAAAGAAGAAGAGGTTCTGAAATTGAAGTTTCATGTTTAAATCTTACTATGTATAAATTAAATAGGTGTTTCATTTAGCTTACTGTGGAGTTTATCTGCTGTAAAAATAGAAGCACCTCTATATTAAATTTGTCAAATGCTGCTTTAGCTTTTCTTTATTGCATTTTAGAATAATTTTACTCAAACAATACTTTTTTATAGAAGTAATTGAGTCAAACAAACGTCAGCTATTGAATTTATCCAATTAGATATCGGTTTATTTATTAACAGTTTTAAATTATTAAAATAATATTTTATTATGATTATGATATTTTTATTTATAAATTAATTTTAAAATCAAAACTATAAAAAAGTTACTATGGGGATATAGGTTGTAAGAAAGCTCACACTTGATTGATTTGTTTGAAAATTTTAGAAGATCAAGGGAAAAACCCATCCTTGTCCAAAGATGAACAGAATGAAGTAACTATTGGAAAGGAATGGATTGAGAACAAGTTAGCTGCGGATAAAAACTGTCTGACTGGTATGTTGTCGATGAAGAAACCAGGAAATGTTGAGGCAATCAAAGCGGTGTTTTACAAAGTCACCGTACTCTTCATTTGTGCTATGGGTGAGCAGATCTATAAGATCCACTTTGATGACCTATGGAGATGGAAAAAGCTCTATTGATGCAATTGGTTAAAATTTTATCCAAATCATTGATTTTAAAAGGATTTTGATGGATTTTCTTTGCCAAAAGCCGTCAGCATGGAAACTATTGTTGTTCTCATTCCACAATGAAGGTGGTCCTCAATCAACAATGATTCGACCGACTCAAAACCTGGAAAAAAAGTTCGACGAAAAGAGCGGAACGAAAACGACTATTTGATTGAACGAGGATCCATTGATCGAGAATCCCCCAAGTTCAATCAACACATGGCAGTGTTGATTGAAGCTATGTTTTGTTATTTTGTCCAAATCTCGACGTAGCGCATCTGTTATAAGAGCATATTTGTCATTTTCAAACCTCAACACAATGACAACTACCTAACTTAGTCCCCAGTCCCAATGAGGTTTCAGATTGGGGTAATTAAAGTCCAAATTAAGGTGCTAAATTTGATGTTTACAAGATTTTAATAGAATTAGTTACTCGAATAAATCCAACATTTTTTAAACTGGATCGAAAGTTGAATCGACGTGAGCTTCGGTTCCCAGTTCAATTGCTTCAACTTAGTAATCTAATTGAGAAAGATTTTAATATTAAATACATAATTTTGATATTAAATAATTATTTTTTGAGAGATTCTTAAATAATTATTAAATATAAAATAATTTAACAGAAATATACATTTGACTTTAGCATATTTCTGTAAGAGATTATAGGTCCAAATTTCTTTACACGCAAACAATTTTTAAATAATAAAATAAACGTTAAAACTAATTTAAACATTGATTTTGTGTAATTCAACCAGTGTTGACTGTTTCTTCATTGACTAGTTAAAAACGTGTTTTTTATTTTTTATTGAATTTGGGATAAGATCGATTTGGAGGAGTGATAAAATTATTTTAATGAAATTAAAAATAATAATTATGAGAAAATTAATTAATTTAATGATAAAATTAAATTAAATTACATCACATAAAAAATACAATAAAATCCGAATAAGCACTCAATTATTCTGGGTTTAATATGATATTTTATTCATCGGACAGAACTCGTGCAGCGACGTCCGAGGTTTCCGATAATAAAATAAACTAATAAAGAAAAGTGAGAGAGAAAAAAAAACAGCCGAATGGATTTGTCGAGATTCAAAGTGCAGCGCTTGTACGCGTGGTGTAGACAGAGTGAAAAGAGCAGGATGATAACTCCGCGTCGCATAATTTTGAATGTTCAGCTTTATGGCAAACATATTTCCCTTATCATTCCCGTACAGTTTTCTGAATGTGAAATGAAGTTTGGAATTGGGAGTCGGAGTTGACAACAATATTTTCGTCTCTCTTACCGCAGTTTTAGTAGTATTTGACAATATTTTAGTTCAATGTGGAAAGTTGTGCAGGGAAGAAGCTTTTCTTTGAAAACAAAAATTTAAAAAAAAAAGTCAATTTGTTAATAAAATATTAAAATTTTATTTTTAATGAAATTTTTTATAATCATAAATATAAATAAAATTTTAAGAAAAATGCTTGCAATAGAAATTTATTTTTTAAAAGAACTTTACTTAAACAAAAAAATAAAAATTAATGTTACAATGATTACTATTCTTTTTTTTTTTTGAAGAAAATTATTGCAATTCAATTTTAATTATAAAATCAATTTTATTAATAAATTTTAAAATTAATGAAAAAAGAATAATTTAAAATGACATATTAAAAATTTAATCAAAGAAAATTTTGTTTTTTCGTCAATAAAAATTTTACATTTTTGTATTTATATAGATTATTTTTATTATTTTATATTTTGATAAAATGTTTTTATAAATAAACATATTATAAATGTATTACTTGCTACCGTGCATTCATTTTTTTAAAATGCCTATTATGCATTCATTTGATGCAATTGCATTTGTAAGTTATTATCATATTTAGTTAAAAAAAATACAATTTTTAAAATTCATTATTTATGTATAAAGATAAGTGAAACGAAATTTAAATGACAAAAAATTAATTACCTTCAAATTTTTAATTCAAAATCTTTATTTGTATAAAGAAAAAAAATCAAATAAATCTTAAGATTCAATTTATGTTTTGTTTATGAAATTAGAAAATGTTATTTATCTTATTCAATATTTTTTGTTAAAAAATTTTATTAAATAATTTTTAATAAATTCTCAAACACATTAAAAAAATTAAACTACCAAACTTTTTAATTTTTAATATTGAATTTTTTATACTTTATAAAACACATCTTTATTTTAAGATATGTTTGATATATAAAATTATGATAGAATAAAATAAGATGATATTATAAATATAATTAAGTTAAATAATATCATCTTATTTTTTATTTGATGCATATAAAAAATATGATAGGATAATTTATTTATTGATTAAAATTATTTTTTTCAAAATTTGTATAATTTAAATTATTAATATAATTTTTAAGAATATAACAAAACATGTAATTTTAATTATATGAATTAAAAATAATCTTTTTATTTTAAAAGAATTGAATTATTTTATATTAAAAAAATGATCAATTTTTTTATAATTATATTTTTTTTATTTAGATATAAATTAAATATAATATAAAATAATTATTATTTTATTTTATTTATTATCTTATATATTAAATATGACTTTAATTTATAAAATAAAAAATAAAAACGATAAGGTTAGATCTCCGGTCTTATGAGGTAAGAGCACGCTAAAAAAATCAAAGTCCCGAGGTTTGAATTCTGTGTTTATTTCTATTTTTGAAAAACTTATATCTTTTAAGTTTTAACGAATTAATATGTGGTACACACGTCAGGGGAAAGAAATAAAAAATGTTATCTTCTGGTGTGGCCAAAGCAAGGCCACACACACTGACATGCTGAACCCGAGACCTCAAAGCTCCTTTTAGGAATACCCAACCTACTCCATCACCTATTGTTGCCGATTGGCACGTCTTGGAAAAACGTAGCCGTTTACCCTTTCCCCTTTCCCCTTGACTCTTTATATATAACATCCCCCAACTATCTTGGCATTCCATTCACTCTCCAATCCATTGTTTTCTGTTACTGGCAATTTTGACTGAATCTCATGGAATCCGAGTTTTCTGAAATGGCAGGAGGAGGACGGGAAGTGACTATCCCGCAAGATTGCGTCGAATCCATCCTTTCCCGTACCTCCCCTCAAGATGCCTGTAGCTTGTCGCTTGTTTCAACTACCTTTAAATCGGCTGCGGAATCCGACGCCGTTTGGGAAAGCTTCTTGCCGCCAGGATACGAGGTTTTGATTCCCTCATCGCTCTGTTTCTCCACCAAGAAAGAGCTTTATCGTCGCCTATGTGAAAGGCCTGTCCTCATTGATGGTGGCCGAAAGGTAATTTCATCCTCTCTCTACTTTTTTTTATTAATTTCTAGTGAAAAATTCAATAGCATTGTCATGTGAAAATTAGATGCTTTAATTTGGAAATTTAATTTTTGGATGCTTCATTTTCGAAACCAAAATCATTGTATTTTGGTATAAACAAATAGTATGAAATGAAACATAATTTTAAGTTTTTAACTAAAATATCAAGCTTTATTGTCCAAGAATATTTTAAATTTTAATTTTTCAAAATATTATTTGCCTTTATTTCGAATATATGAAAGCAAGAAGCAAGTTTTTTTTTTGTCTAGTTGTTGTTTTTATTTTTATTTTTTTTTATTTTCAGAAGCAAAAAGTGTTTTTGGGATTAAAAGAATGAAATTTGAATGATTAAAATTTTAAAATATTTGATTATATTTGATATGAAACAATTATGTTTAATAATTGGATAGGTGTTACTGTTACTTTTTAGCTATCTGTTAATTTTTAATCCAATTCGATTTTAGTTTTTTGTGAATTATATTATTTTGACAACTTTTGATAATGTGAAAGGCAAATAACAAAAGGGAGCTTAAAAAAACTTTGAACATCTTTTTGATCTATTAATGATAACTCCACCTGTATTGAGATTTCTTGGATCACATCTATTCAACTAAGGGCTGTTTGGATTTTTTCTCAACTTCCAGTTTTTCCCGAGAAGGGTCCAGTGACAAAACTTAGGGTAGTCAACTGATGTAAAATTGAAAAAAAAAAAAGCCTATTTTCAATTATGGCAGTCGGCTGTTTTTGGTGGGATAGTCGACTGCTATACCCAATCTCGCTGTTACTGTACGTTTGCATCGAGTTTATAATTCCGTTACTGATTTTAATCTGTCCTCCACTATTGATTTTAAGAAGCCTATCTCATCATCCATCCAAATGAACTATAGCTTTAACTGGGTATCAACCCGGGCTAAAATGATAAATGTTTTGTTGTTTATTAGGGATTATTCAGAAAAAATTATGTTCAGTTGTGTAATGATGAAAGTATTTTCTTTCTTACATTACTTTTTTTCTTTTTTAATTTTGCATGTAACTTGGTTTTTAACAATGTTAATCTTGATGGAACAGAGTTTTTCATTGGAAAGAGGGAGTGGCAAGAAATGTTACATGCTGTCTGCCAGGGACCTCTTTATTGTATGGAGTGACACTCCAACTTACTGGAGATGGGTTTCTATACCTGAGTCCAGGTCTCTCTCTCTCTCTCTCTCTCTCTCTCTTTGCTTCTTTGGTTGGATTGTCTCGGTTGTTTCTTTTATTAGTACTTTCAAATACATTCATCGCTACCATCCAACTAAGAATTGTGGATCCCAGGCATATGAATGGTTATTATAGATATATATTGGATAGAATAGGTCCAAAAAATTAATGGTTATTCTCTCCCCTTTTCACAATTTATTTTCTGTTATTGTTAACATGTAAACATTTCATGTCAAAACAGGTTTGAAGAGGTAGCAGAGCTTATTAGTGTTTGTCGGCTTGAAATTCGTGGGAATATTACTCTCTCCATGCTTTCACCCATGACACGCTACAAGGCTTACCTTGTGTTCAAGAAAACAACTGGAGCTTATGGGTTTGATATCCATCCTGTGGAGGTTAGTGTTGGACTAGTTGGCAATGAGGGCAGTATGAAAACTGCCTATTTGGATGCAGAAAGAGGCGGAAGACAGCGTTACCAGATTGTACCAAGAAGGCGAATTGGGCGGGGATTTAACCGAAGCCGTTTCTTTGGGTTGCACTCATCTGTACCTACTAGTCCAAGTGATGATCAGTATCCAAAGGTGAGAGTAGATGGGTGGCTGGAGATTGAGCTGGGTGAATTCTTCAATGAGGGTGGCGTTGATGGGGAATTGGAAATGAGTGTTTTGGAGGTAAAGTTTGGTCGCTGGAAGGGTGGCCTCCTTATCCAGGGGATTGAGATCAGGCCTGATCCATGTGTCTCGGACTCGAGTCAATAGGTATGTTCAATTTTTTCTAAATTGTTCATCTATTAGGTGGTCAAAAAGCCATACCCTTTTTCATCAGATTTTTGCCATATACGGGTACTACTGCAGAATTGAAGAGTTCGAAGCAACCTAATAAAACAACATTTTTTTGCTTCAAGTACTTGATTGGCTTGAGAAATTGTATCAAATGCGTTTCGCGTATTTATGGGTGAGCATGGCTCGCGAACGTGTCAATTGTAACAATTTTGAAAACCTCCTGTTAAGCATTGTAGTAACAAAGTAATTTATCCTTGTGAGAAAATATATGCTCAGACTTGTTTTCCTTTTGTGATGATATTATTTCGTATGGGATTTCTCATTTGACGAAATATGAAAATGTGTGTGTTTAATCTTTGCAGCCTAACCACATCCCATGATGTCATAATGATGAGAGAATGAAAAATAAAGATTTTTTTTTTAATTATGGGTATAAAAAATAACATTTTATGTAACCATTATTTTGTAATGGGCGTTAATTTTAAGTTATTAGTTTTAGAATTTACAGAAGAACATCAACTTATCTTTAACCAAATATAATTTTTTTTTTCAATCCAAGTGGCAAACGTGGGTTAATATGAGGCTTTCAATTTCAAGCCCAAAGCAACTAACGGGAACCATCAATTGGGCTTGGGGACTGCGTTAGTTTGCCTTGATACATTTTGTTTGGGCTCGTTCCGTTTGTTGATTGCGGCTAAAGTTGGGTTGGTACAAAATCAACCCCCCACATGTAATTTTTACTTTTTAGCAAAATTTTGATGTACTTTATATATAAAAAACCAGTAAAAAGTAAATTTAACCACACAGTAATTTTTTACTGATATTTTTGTTCTTTGTTTCTTTCTTTGCAAAGCAAAAAAGCGTTTAGACAAAAAACAAAATAATAGAACACAATAATAAAACTATGTTTGGACACAAAGAAATAATTTTTTAATATTAAAGATATATAATTCTTTCTATATATTTTTTAAAAATAACAAAATACATGATTTTATTTTTATATAAAGTAATTACATGATAATTGGATATTATATTTAAATTACTTATTTATTTTCAATTAATTATAAGTTGATTGATCATATTTTCCGACAATTTTTTTAGTACTATAAAATTAGATTGAACAAAATCAAAATTTATGTGAAAATGAGATCATTCTTGTAATTTTATTTTTATTTTTTATTTGTATATATTAAGATTTGAAATTTAAAAATTAAAAATTAAAAGTTTAATATTTTATTAATAATTTTATTTTTACTTTATATATTTATTTTTCAAGAAAAAAATAAATAATAATATATAAATAATCTTTTTTTATCGATATCTCTGTTGATTTAAGTGACATAAAATTTATTTTTTTTTAAATAAAATAGAATTTGTTTTTCTTACGAGATCTGATCTAATTTGACTATGAAATAATTAGACCCAAAATAACTATTAGATACCAAAAGATTTGAAATAAAAAAAAATCTTTTATTAAAATCCTAAGGTTTTAACTTAAGGGATTTATTAATTATATATTATTAGATTATTAAAAAAAAAAACCTCCAAAAAGAAGTTTTCATTATTACTAAATTATATGAAAAATTTTAAAGAAAAACACATCAAACAACTTTCAGTTATTTCAACAAAATAATTCTAAAAAACAATATTAAAAAATAATGCAAAACATTATCATATTTATCTTTGTAATTTAAGGAAGCTAATGAATATTCATTCATCCATAATTCCATATGCTTGTGATTAGACAAATGATGCACTACTATAATTTTAATTTAAAAGAAAAATTGGTTCTATTTTTATTAAAAAAAAATAATATATATATATATATATATATATATAAAAGACATGGTAAAAAGAAAACTTATTTCTCTCGCTATCGAAAAAAGAAAAGAGAGAGAGAGAGAGAGAGAGAGAGGAGAAAAGGAGAAAATTATTTAACATGGGATCTACGAAAACTTTCCATCGTTTTTCCAGTTTTCCTTTGTTTTCCAATCATCCAAACACAAAGCAAAATCAACTTCTTTTATCTAATTCCCTTGTCCCTTCACCAATTGCCCGCGTTTTAACTTCTTCTAGGGTTTCTTAACCTTCCATTTCATTTTCAAGGCGGCGGTAAGCAAAGTTCTAGAGTTTGTGGCGTTTTTTGTGAAAAATTATCAAAAGCATGAAACCTTAGATCTTGTGGGCATCGCGGAATTTTAAAGAGTTCGACCTAAATTAATTCAAGGTAACTTTTTTGGTCATTTGGGTATTTAAATTTGTAGCTTTTGGTGAAAGTGAACTAATTTATTTCATACATTAAAAGAAGTGTTTAGATGAGTTAAGAAAAAAACATTAATCTTCGTAAAGTTTTATAGAGCTTAATGTAAGTTTAGATTATGCTTAGCATGCACCTTGAATTTAGCCCATTTTGTAATTTCAATTTTTTTGGTTGCTTGAAACTTTAAGGACTCAAAATGTTATTTTTGTTGCTTAAAAGAGTTAAAGGTGACTTGATGTTAGCTGCCAAAAGTAGCCCGTGTCTTTGCATTTGTTCACTGTAGTAAAAGTTTGTGGCATTGAATTGAAAGCGTTTGGTTGCTATGGTATTGCCTCTGCTATAATTATCTTGCTGTGAGATGGGGAATTCACCATTACTAGAATTTGTTTTAAGTTATTTCTATTTGTTTAAGAGTTTTATGATGCTATGTCAAAATTCTTAGAATCTTTGGTTGTGAGGGATAAAAAATTTCATCCTTGAGTGAAACTTTATTATTAGAAGAAGATATCTCTTACTTCTTGATTAGGGCTTGGGCTGTGGTTATGTCATATTGATTAGGGCTTTGTCTGTTTCTTATGTTAAAGGGAAGTTTAGTGATCTTCAAATCTTCCAGAATTTAGTTATTATGTGGTCGATGGGCCCTTGTTTGAATGGAATTGTGTAGTGAATCCTTTTATTCTGTTTTAATTAGTTTATGCCTTCTTTCAGTAAGTTCTTTTACTTTTGTAACTAGGATTTGAAGTCCTTACAGATTTAGGTGAAGTTAGTATTTTGTATGTCACTCTTTATGATCAGTCAATTGTAAACAGAAGTTCTTTCCTTTAAAAGATTTTAAATAGCTTTTAACAACTACTTCGTCCTGTCTTGAGTGTGATTGCTTAGAAAGCCCAAGACATGATTGCCCAATTTTCTTTATATCACCGATTTCCCTAATTCAAATCATCTTCTCTGATCGCCTCTTGATTCTTTCTGTTAAATAGCCATAAAACATTTTTATTCTCCCTAGAGTTTAGCTCATTTCAGTCCCTTCAAAAAGAGGTGACAGTCTGGTGATCAATGTCGGCTTCAATTTTAGATTGTTTTGAGTTTATTAGATTTTGGTCATGAACTTTTGGTGTCAACTGGCTTCCATTATCAGGCAAGTTGAGTTGGTTTGGTTTGGTTTGGTTTAATCAATTTTGTACTACTACAATCAGTAAATGTGGTTTGGCTAACAGCTGGTTCTGGTTTGATGTCTTTTTAGTTTTCTGGTTGATTGGGTTCAAGTTATGTCAGATTCAGGTTGTTGGCCTTCAAGTCTATTTCAGTTTTGTCAAACTTTCTGGTGAGTCATCCTAGTTAGATGGAGTTTTACCACATTTTCTTTCAAATCTAAACTCTCAAATAGTTAAAGATTAGTTTTGAACTGAAAAGTTCCTGGATCAGGACAGATGCAACTTTGATGGAAACCTAGCCGATGTACAAGCATAATACTTGTTTGTTTCAAAACTATCAATTTGTGCTGTAATGCTGATCTGTATAGTTCGTGTAAAGGTCACACCTATAGGATCTTTGATGACAGCTTTATCTGATGGAATCTTAAAAATATAGGAACCCATAATGAATGCAAAATTGAATAAGTAGTCTGGTTAACCATTGTGTATAGCAATCAACAAATGATGCCTTGAATATCTATTAAGGAATAAGAAGGGGAAGAAATTGTTGGTCAAAATCCTTTTGGAAGGAAAAAAAATGTGAAGCCAATACTGAATGGGAAGCTGTGAAATCTTTTGGTTGAATGAATGGTTTGCAATTGGATATCTAGTATTGTTTTTTATTTTCCACTTTTAGTTTCTTTAAAGGAATGAATTAAATCAGTTTTTACTTTTCATAAGTGTGATTAGATGATTAACTTTCAATATCAATATGATAGGCTGTAAAAAATTTGTAAACACCCTTGGCACAAGTAATAGTGAATGATTTTAAATTTTGATTGATTAAATCTTTTAGATATCCTTCTCTTTTATATAGAAGATCTACAGTATCTTCTCTCCCTAATTAAAGATAAACTAAGGTGGTTCTCCATCAGAGGGACATATTCTTATATAAAAGTTGCATGTTGACAGTTCTTCACAAACATACACAAGGTTCCACTTGGTGCAGTGACCATAGCTGGCTCCTCCTCTGGGTTTTAGGTGCAATGTTGATTTGTCTTTGATCTATTGGTGTGTTTCCCAAAGCTAAGACATAAGGGGCTTCCCTTTGTCAGGTTTACAAAAATTTTGCAAAGTTGTCCCTTTTATTTGAGAATTGTTAAATTATTACTCTTTGTTCTTATTGATGATTGGCTCTTGGTATTCATGTCAAAGGAACATGCAATTAACACAAATTGCTTGCTTTTTTTGAAGTTTCAATTTTATAATTTTTTTTTCTGATAGACCTGATTCTTTTTCTTTTATTTGGTATAATTAGATTAGACAGATATTTGTAGAGCTCACTTACCTTGAGTTTCTGAAACTCCTATTCTCCCTTCCCCTTCTTGTTATAGAGGAAGAGGTTACTGTTAAATCTGGTTATCATGCAACTACTGCTCATTAGTTTCTTTTTCTGTCACAGGTGCTTTATATAATCCTTTTGGGTTCAAAATCATTACTTCACTAATTGACAGCTTAAAAAGGGATTTTGCTGGCAATGTTGCTGTTCTATCAAGAAGAAAATTGTTTCCATTTCTATGTTGATTAATTATACTGGTATAATTATTGATCCCTAGTTTATTTTGTAACCCCAATATATTATATTAATTTCCCTCCCTGTCTTCTACTGCGATATCTGCACCTAACTAAGAGTATATATGTGCTGTTTTTGAAGCTTTTCCTTGGAAGCATTTTCTATTCTGTTTATTGCATGGAGGGAGCCCTTTGAATCACGTCAGACTGTTGCTTCCTTCATTTCTTGTATTCATGGCTGATCATGCTTTAGTGGTAGCTGATACTTCGCATGCCCTTGTAGAGCATTCATTAGTTATCGGGCAGGAATTTCCTGATGTTGAAACTTGCAGAAGAACCTTGAAAGATATTGCTATAGCCCTGCATTTTGACCTTAGGATAGTGAAATCTGATCGCAGCCGATTTATAGCGAAGTGTTCCAAAGAAGATTGTCCATGGCGCATCCATGTAGCAAAATGTCCTGGAGTTCCAACTTTCTCAATTAGAACTCTGCATGGGGACCATACATGTGAAGGGGTCCACAACCTCCATCATCAGCAAGCATCAGTGGGTTGGGTTGCAAGATCTGTAGAAGCACGTATTCGGGATAATCCACGGTGCAAACCAAAAGAAATACTGCAAGATATCCGTGATCAGCATGGAGTTGCTGTTTCTTATATGCAAGCTTGGCGTGGAAAGGAACGAAGTATGGCTGCACTTCATGGGACTTTTGAAGAAGGGTTTCGCCTTCTTCCCGCATACTGTGAGCAAATAAGGAAAACCAACCCTGGAAGTGTTGCATCAGTTTTTGTTGCTGGACCAGAAAATTGTTTCCAGCGCCTCTTTATTTCTTACCGTGCGTCTATCTATGGGTTTATAAATGCTTGTAGACCGCTTCTGGAACTTGATAAGGCAGATCTGAAAGGAAAATACTTGGGTACATTACTTTGTGCTGCAGCTGTTGATGCTGATGATGCTTTGTTTCCTTTGGCAATTGCTATTGTTGATGTGGAAAGTGATGAAAATTGGATGTGGTTCATGTCAGAGTTGAGGAAACTTCTTGGTGTAAACACTGAAAACATGCCTAGACTAACAATACTATCTGAAAGACAGCGAGGCATTGTAGACGCGGTAGAAACCCATTTTCCAAATGCTTGTCATGGTTTTTGTCTACGTTATGTCAGTGAAAATTTTCGTGATACATTTAAGAACACAAAGTTGGTTAATATCTTCTGGAATGCTGTTTATGCTCTCACTGCTGTTGAGTTTGAGAGCAAAATTGCTGAAATGATAGAGATCTCGCAGGAGGTTATACAATGGTTTCAATTCTTCCCTCCCCAGCTTTGGGCGGTAGCTTATTTTGAAGGAGTGCGATATGGCCACTTTACACTAGGCGTGACTGAGTTGTTGTATAATTGGGCCCTTGAATGTCATGAGCTCCCCATTGTGCAAATGATGGAACATATTCGCCATCAACTAACCTCTTGGTTTAACAATTGTCGTGAAATGGGAATGAGATGGACATCAATTCTTGTGCCATCTGCTGAGAAGCGGATTTCAGAGGCAATTGCAGATGCTCGTTGCTACCAAGTACTTAGAGCAAATGAAGTTGAATTTGAGATTGTCTCAACCGAGCGGACAAATATTGTGGATATTAGGAGTCGTGTGTGTTCCTGTCGCCGGTGGCAGCTGTATGGTTTACCTTGTGCACATGCTGCGGCTGCACTTATTTCTTGTGGGCAGAATGCTCATCTGTTTGCTGAAGCTTGTTTCACAGTGGCAAACTACCGTGAGACCTATTCACAGATGATAAATCCTATACCGGATAAGAGCATTTGGCAGGAGCCCGGTGAAGGATCTGATGGTGGAGTTGCCAAGCTTGATATCACAATACGCCCTCCAAAAACTCGCCGGCCACCCGGCAGACCAAAAAAGAAAGTTCTTCGTGTAGAGAACTTGAAGCGCCCGAAGAGAGTTGTTCAATGTGGTAGATGCCATTTACTAGGACATTCTCAAAAGAAATGCACAATGCCAATTTGACCCTATTTAGCTTCTTTTTCTGTTTTCTTTTTCCCTTTTCTTTTACCCTTAAATATTTTCTCCTGAAATTCCAGTAGAATCTGTGGCGTGTTTGTAATCTTATTGTATGTTTTTAAAATCCTAGTTGCAGAATAAGATTCACTGCTTTTTTTTTTTCCCAATTGTCCGTCGATCCTGTGCTCTTTGCTGCAACTTGTTCCTGTTTTCCATCTGGTTTTCCTTCCATGAGCACATAGTAATTAAATTATTGTCATCTTTTGTTTGAAAGATTTAATGTGCTTTATTTAGTTGTTTCTATTTTTACAGGTCTATCAGAATTGACAGTTACGTGTATAGAGAACTTCATGATCAACTTTTGCTGTATTTATTGTAACGTTTCTGGAATTTCTTTTGGAATTCTGTAGGGGTCAAGTCTTTACCTTTTGATAGGTCATTTTCTCATGTAAGTGCTGATGTTACGGGTCGAGATTTAAGCTTCAAACTCACGCGGTTTCGAGATCCGGCCATTCACCTTTCTGACGTCTCAGATCAGTCTGATCATCATGGTTCACACCCTTGTGAGGTATTGTCTTACAAAAGACGTCTCACAAGGCGGAGATGGTGTGAACCCTTTTATACCCCAGTGACCCTCTTATTATGTTCAATGTGGGATTCAAGACTCTCCTTTAGGTCCGTGACATTCTCCGGCACCCAACCTCGTGACGCCCTCGTCACGGAGGCTGGCCACTCTGCTTACCTCCCTCGAGGTTTTTGACGTAGATCGAACGGTTTAGGGCTGGCTCTGATACCACTTGTCAGGGATCGAGACTTAAGCTCCAAACCCGCTCGGCTCCGGGACCCGGGCATTCACTTTTCCGACGTCTCACTTCAGCCTGATCGTCATGGTTCACATTCTTGTGAGGTATTGTCCTACAAAAAGCGTCTCAAAGGCGGAGATGATGTGAATCTTTTTATATCCCAGTGACCCTCTTATTATGTTCAATGTGAGATTCAGGACCCCCTTTAAGTTCGTAACACTGTTGTCATGCCAAGCATTTTAAGAGAGTTGATAGGATGTTTCAATCTTATATCAGACAGAAAAAAAAAAAGCTCATTGGACATAAGTTTTAGTATTGCACATCCCAATAAGTAGGTTACGTGAAAAGAGGATAATGATCATGTGACATTATGACATTCACAGTTTTCGACCTACGAAATTTTAATTTGACATTTTGGGACAGGAATGAGTAACTGGCAAGTTTGTGTATAACTTGTGTGCTTTCTCATTGCTCTTCAGCCACGATGGTCTGTTTTGCCAATGTTTCTCTTCTTTCCAGGCTGATTGCTCGAGGGTGGTGAAACATTTCTTTTATGAAAGCTGCAGATATGCCTGCTGGTGGGGGATTCTTAGTTGAGCATAAGCCAAGAAAAGCCTAAAAGTCGGGACATGCCATCCCCCAATAGCATGTCTCCCAGTAATTGCATCTCTTTCATTTTTATTGAGGTTATCGTTACAAATGATCAGTGAATTATAATAAAATATTTAATATGTTATTTAAATTTTAAAATTTTCTAATATAATTCATAAATTATAAATTTGTTAATTATTTTTATACTCATTTTTAAAACATTTTTTTTTAATATTAATGTGCATATAACTGACAAATAAAATTTTAAATAATAAATTTATAATTAAAGTATTATATTAAAGATTTTTAAAATTCAAATATCACACTAAAGATTTCAATATAATTCATAATCATTCGAGAAATTATCCCGTTTTAAATTTTTAGTTTTTTTTTTTTCAATTATCTTCTCCTTAAATCGTTCTTGCATAGGATTTATTTTAATCAACAGTTTGTATTTAGATATTCATAATCGATTTTGTGGCACAAGGATCGTTGTTTGGCTGTAATTTAATTTAATTTATTTTAATTATTTTCTGGGATTATATTTTTCACATTGTCATATTAAAAAAATAATCTACTGTATCACAATGTTTATGTGATGCATATAAAAAAAAATTTGTATGTAATAGTATAATTGGGACATTGTAATCATAGGCAAAACAAAAGTTACGAATTAAACCCTCCTTTAAACTTAAAATACATGGATCTAAAACTTGAGCTTTATTGGATTTAGCATTATGATCAAAACAAAACTTACTAGTCCTACGCATGCTTCTCATTGAATAGCAAGGAAAAGTATTTTTTTGGCGAAATTTTCAATAAAAAAATGTTTAATTATACATCATTTAATACACTCGTATCATACACTCACGTATATAAAATTTTATTTTTAAAATATTTTTGTACTTATAAGATTTTAATATATTTCACTTAAATTCTTTAAAAGACTTAAAAATAAGTGAGCACATTATTTGAATGTAATATATAAATGTATAACGTTGTCTTTTATAATTTAATTATAATGGATACTTGATAATTCATTTTGGAATTGGATTTTTATAGAAAATTATGTCGTGAGATATCTTACTGTCCAAAATTACTCATTCTACCAATTGAATTACTTTTAGAAAAGAGAAAAAAAAAAAAACTTTGTATGAAGGGTTTACGATACCCATTATTCAAATACATTAAAAAAATTAGATACTAAAAAGTATGAACTACAAAGATTAACTTTAGGTTGCATAAAAAAAATTAACTTTAGGTATAGAAAATTAAGGTAGGGACTAGAGATCCTTAATTCATACTCCCTTTCATAAAATAATAAAATAAGATTAGATTAACAACATATGGGACGTTGAAACTCGATTATATGATATTAAATCTTCAATTGTCAATTATTTAAGATATAACTTATAATTAATTTTATACTTATTTTCTCACAAATTACAAATTTATTTTTTGAGTTAATATCTAATTTGATCTTTAAATTATACCACTTTATAATTTGTTGTTTATAGAAAATTTACAGTTTAATATCTCAACTTTTATTTTGTTATATCATTATCCCAAATATCAAATTTCGTTAATAATATATTGACGTGATAAGAGATCAAGGATTAAAATAATGAGATATAATGTATTTTTGTTAGCCAATATCTATCATGTTATTCTTTTATCTAACACTATTACACATGGTGCAAAGTGTTTGATGAAAATAAAATTAAACTATCAAATTATGAATTTTTTTTTAATAAATATCACATCATGAAAAGTAAGAATATAAATAAATTGAACATAAACAAAATATTATTATATTTGTGATTCATTCATTTATTTTTAGAATTATTTATATTCGATTCATGTTCAATAAAAAACTTTTATATTATGTTTAGGTTCATTTAATTGAGATATTAAAATATACGAACTCAATTTAAAATAAATTTATTTAAATTAAATAAACTTATTTATATACATCGAACAAACAAATATGCTTATAAACATAAATCTAAATATAAATGAATATATAATAACTAAGAAATTGGCCTTGCAAACAAACCAATGACTTGGATTTTTAAGAGGGGAGGGAATATGCCTATTTTAATGACTTTCCTCTCCTACATTAGTTTCCCAAAGTAAGTGAAAATGGAAAGACTATCCAAAAAAAGTTTCCTCTATAACTTGTTTATTGTCCATATTAGGCAGTTAAGAATTATATTTAAAATAATATTTTTAAAACAAAAGATTTTTAATATATGTTAGTGTCCTTTTAAATATATCAATATTAAATTGTAATTAAAATCTTACTAAGAGATATTTAATCAAAAATATGTCATGTTAGAAGAAATAAACAAAATATAAATAAATATTTATTAAATTTGTTTACTGAAGTTAAATGAGTTTATTCTTAAATATAAACAAACAAAAATTTTTTTTGTATTCGATTAATCTATTAAACGAATATTAAAACACTTTTTAAGATTATTTATTAAATTTAATAAATGAACATAAATTAAATAATTTAATACTTTTTGACGAGTTTAAATTTAATTAATTTATTTTCATAATACATAAATAAGTAAATAATAAATACATTAAAGGGTAATTACGTACAAATATGTAAGTAACTAATTAAGTAAATGAACAAATAAATATGTAAATATAAAATCACAAAAGTATTTAAGTAAGTTGGAGTATCAATTGTTTACGCCCAATAACCTTTAGTCACACTCGTTACTATAATTTTAATTTGATAAATTAAAAAATGTTCCATCTTTTGTCAACGACATCTTGTATATTACTATTGCATTTTTCAATCCACCCAATTACAATTTAACATTAGATGAATACTACATTCCTCTTTCAAAATCTAATTAAAATCTATCTCACAATATCCAAATCTAATTAAAACCCAATGCACCATACCTATCAAACTTAATAATTTATTTTTTATCAACCAATAATTATTTCATAAATATAATTTTTATTGTATGTTATGTTATTTATTAATCTATGTCGAGAAAAGTTATTAAGCATTTTCATAACATCCATCTAAAGGCCATATCAATTTATTTTATATTATTCTAAAAGGGTTTTATCTAAATGGTATTTTATTCTTAATAATATTTTATTATTTAAAATATTAAAAAATTAGATTTTCTTTAATATTTGGATAGGATTTTAAGAAAATTTTATCATCTGCAGAGTATTTAAGAAATTCATTTATTTTTTTGAAAAAACTGGCCATCAGATTAATTTAAAATTTTATAAAAAAAATTATGTTTATATTTATATTTATTTTTGATTTTACCAACCTTATTTTACTAAATATTTATTAAAAAAATAAATAATATTTTTTATTAATATACATTCAAAATCTTTTCAACACTTTTGATAAATTTCTAAGAAAATTCATCATCTAAAAATTTCAAGCACCGTTTGCAAATTTCTTTTAATTTTATCATTGGAAAAATTTTCATTTACTTTTATCTTTTAAAGCTTACGTGACAAATAAATAAATAAAATTACAAAAATTATAAATTTATTTTTTTGACTTGTATTTTTAAATTTTTTTATTGTCAAATGATTAAAACATATTGTTAATAAAAAATTTAAAATATGTATGTAAATAAAAAAATAAACAAATAATAAGCAAATCAATAAATTAAAATTAAAATTAAAAAGAAAAAGAAAAAATAAATTAAATAAAAAAACTAAAATATAAAACAATTGCCATGTGTCAAAAACAAAGAAAAAATACCTGAAAGTTTTTTCTCCAAATTACTCCCAACTAATTTTATTTCATGTGTTAATTAGTCATTTAATAAACTTTTATATATCATATTAGATGTTTTTGAAATTGAGGAATCTCACAATAACTTTAATCTATTGCATAGATAGATGTATCTAATTATATGTTGTTTTATTTATTGACTTATTATATTGTTAATTTTTTATTATAAAATGTAATACTTAATGTTATTGTGCTATTTTTACTTGTAAATATGACATCATAAAAAATCTAATCGGTCAAGAATTCATAAAAATAATGTGCTTCATAAAAATCTAGCCTAACCAGATTGGATTTGAACATGATTTTTTAGGTACAATAATTATTACATTAATAAAAATATTTTTAATTATAATTTTTAAATTTATTTTAAATATTTAATATTTAATATATAAAAAAATCAAGTTATATTAAAATTTTTTTTATATCTTTTTATATTTTTTTATCTATTGATTTTAATAAATTCAAGAAATGAGATTAATTTTTTTTATTTTTGAATTTATTAAAATTTATAATTTAAAAAATGTAAAATTTTTTAATTTTAAACTGATATAAAATAAGCTATACTCATAAAATAAAATATTTTAAATTTAAAATTAAATGGGGTAAATCTATGTGAAACTTTTAATATATTTTATATAGGTCCAAAAGGACAGTAAGGCGTTAAGATCTTGGGTGAGAGATGAGACAGTCGGTTACCAAATCTGAAATATTAATTTGGCGCTCTTTAAGAGACAACTTAGGTGGCTTTCTCTACCCGTGTCGGACTGTCTTTTTTCTCGTCCAACGTCTCTCCATTCTCTCTCTTTTTCTTTCCGTTTCTTCGGAAAATTAAAAACAATTCCGATTCTTTTCTCATTGCCAACTCCCTCTTTCCCCTCAGAATATTCTCCTTCTTTTTCTTCTAGGGTTTCCCTGAACTCCTCTTCTCTTTGACGAAATGGCGGAGTTGCCGGAGCCGAGTCATCGGAACTCTAACGTCAGTTCCGACGATATGTCGATTGAGATTACCGGCGATGACTCCGATGTCGCTAATTCTTCAGGTTTTTTTGTTTACTCTGTTCTTGTTCTTTGTTTTACGTTTCTTGGATTTGTTTAAGGGATTTTATTCGATGATGTCTTTCGAACGAAGCAATTTTTTTTTTTTTGAGGGCGGTGAATTTATGAGATTTTCTTTGTATTTGTTTGCTTTATTATATTCCTTAAACCTTTTTACTCAAAGTTAACAATTTGTACCTTTCCGGCGTTCTCTTTTTTGTAAATTGAAAGTTTTATTTTAAAATTTTATTTAGGTTGTTCGACTGATGTGCCTGTTGATTTCGATGTTGAAATTGTTGGCGAAGACGATAAAGGTTCTGAAGCTTCAAGTTTGATTGTTTTTATTGCATATATGTATTTATATGTTATTAAATATCTAAAAAAAAATTTTATTTATGTTGTTCAACTGATGTGCCTGTTGATTTAGATGTTGAAATTGTTGGCGAAGAGGATAAAGGTTCTGAAGCTTCAGGTTTGATTATTTTTGTTGCTATATATACATATATATTCATATGCATGCACGTATTATTTACTAGTTACTTTGTGTTAGTTGATTTTCAATGGGCACAATGTGTTCTGTATTTGAAAATGGGAAATATAGATATTTATTGACATGAAATAGCCTTTTTTTTTTGTTAGTAATAGAACTTCTAAGGATACATGTACAAGAAGATAGTATTACAAATATAATCGACCAATTTAGCCCTTTCAGAGGACAAAACTAGTAAACTAGCATGTATCTAGAGAAAATGCAGCATAAAGTTGGAGTAAACCCAAGGACCTAAAGGCTCAGGGCATCAGCCTACCATTGAGATCACATTAATAGATCACATTAATCTATCATGGTTGCTGTAAAAGTTGTGATTTTGTTTCTTTATAAGAAAAGATAACTTCTTGGTACTCTAGCAAAAATCTATACTTAAAACTGTCTTTGCTCTGCATTTTTCTGCACTGTTGCAATAGATGTGAAACAAAAGGTTCTTTCTGTTTCTTGCTTTTCTAACAGGTTATACATTGCACTCAGTTCCTTTTCTCTGCATTTGAACCTAAGATGAAACTTCCCCTACTTTTCATTTTTATAAATACTACAGTTGTTACATTAGGATGTCTGACTGAAATATAAAAGCTTTTAAGTTTATTAACTGAATCTATTGTCCACTGAAAGATCTCTGTCTTGTGTTTTGCTTGTCTCTGGAAATGAAGTGAAATTAGAAAAATGGGTAGCTATAAGTCCAATTGATATATTAAGGTATAATCTTAATATAATTTGTGCCAATGGGTTTAATCTATTTTGGTTTTTAGGGCTGAGTTAGATGGTAATTGCTGAGAGTTTGTTTAGGGGTTATAGGATCATTCTATAAGGTATAAAATCTGAAATAGGTTGGGAAGTAAATTTAGAAGAAAGAGATCTAGGCTTCACACTTAAGGTCCCAAGGGATTTATACCATCCCAAGAGAGCATACTAGCTGATAAGAACGCCACAAACTTGTCCTCTATCACTATCAAGTAATAGTTTGTCCTCCATTACTATCAAGTAATATGACAGGAACTACAAGAGAGGCATAAATCAACTGCATATCCCTAATTCAAATAAAATCCTAATTTGTGAGGAGAACCTAAAATAAGATCCTGACTCTCCAATGCTGCAATCTCCAGAAAATAAGATCTGAATCAGTCAGACATCAAATAAAGGCTGTAATTCTATATATGCTTGGTAATAAATCTTGACTGTTCTTATCTCCTTGTCTCTGTCAAATAGGTAGTTGGCGCTATCTGATTACTTGAATGATTTCTAACATATTTACTATTGAATTACTGGCAAGATACTTAATGCTAACTGTTCAGTATGTGTTTATAAGAAAGTTCCAAGAGATGCTATGATGTGTAACTTTTGTCATATTATGTGTTTATAAGAAAGTTCGAAGGTTACTTATGTTTGCGTATGGAGCTGCATTCTAGTATTTTCTCCCTTTCTCTATTTCGGACCAATTCATCATCATATTAATCTTACTTATAAATGCCTTAGTATGTGGCAATTTTATTTAATGAAGGTAATTATGCATACTATCATTAATGCTCCAAAATCTGCTCTACCAGGCCTTACTGACAGGAGTTTGGCTGGACAAAATATGCGTGCCGAAGAATCTACTTCTGCAACAAATTCTGGATCTAATCAGCTATCAAAATCTCGTAGAGTAAGATACAATAGCAAACTAGCTATGTATGCAGCCAAATTTTTGGATGAAAAAGTTCCTTTCAGAAAGAAGGTATGGTATATTTTTCATTTCCTTGTTTTTTTGTTTTTTATTATAACTCACATTGAGTTAAAGGGACATAGGATCAGTCTTCTAAATTAAACTAGTTTTAAGTTCTGGGATGCAATTCTATTAGAATTGTGAAGTAAATATTAAATTTGTGAAGTGAATTCTTCAATGTTATGAGCGTCAATGTGTTTGTATTAATACTGGAAACCCAGTCATAACAAACTTCCTACTGCACCTGCATAGGTAGAGGTGTCAATTAGGCAAGTCACTTCACATTGGGTCATTTCAAGGCAAAAGAAATTTAGATCGTTTTGGATTCTATTCATTTGGGGTTCAGGTTATTTAGCCTCAGGTCATCAGTTTTGGTTCATTTCGGGCCAAATTGTTGAGTTTTATATTCAAATCAATTTAGTTTCGAGTTTGGGTTAGATAAGTTCTGGTTGTTAACTTTTCTTAGTCAAATAGGTTTGGATCAGGTTCGGGTCAGCCTTGCCAACTCTGTATATAGGAGTTAGATTGGTGGTGGTTATGCAGAACTCCTATAAGAATATAATGTTTGATGACAGGCAGGGTGGGTGGAATTATTGTCCTGATTAAGCTCCAAGCTGTCATATTCTTTTTAACATTTGGTGTGAAACCTTGTTCATTCCCATTTTTTATTTTCTTGTTATATTCTTGACTGATTGTACATTGCCTATTTCAATCAGAATCTCTATTTTGGGTGCCCCATGTATATTATTAATATTTTATTTTAATTTTCAATTTGCTATTCTGTCATTTTTCCTCTGGTAATGGAATTCTAAACTAGATTTTAAAAATATTTATACAGATCAAATGGTTGAATCGACTCGCTAATGTGAAACTTGATGGAACCGTACAATGTGATATTCCAATCAATATGAAACAACCTGCACTTGATTATGGGACTGGTGTTGTTTACGAAGCTCGAGAGAAAGAGCATGTTGACACAGCAGATATTCCAGATATACCTCGTCCACTGCAAATAGTAATGCTTATTGTGGGAACACGAGGAGATGTACAACCATTTGTTGCCATTGGAAAACGATTACAGGTTATATTCGTATTCTCTTCTTAGCAAACCTTGTAACAGCCTTTTATAAGTATGTGTACAGTGCAGTTTTGGTATCTTTTTCTAAGAGCCTGCACTTAGGCTGTGTTCTCATTGTTGTTTCTTCGTGGATTACCTGCTGAAGTATAACATCTGGGCACTTTTACCTGTCATGAATGCCATGCATAACATTTCTGTTGTTAATGTAGTATAATTAATCATCTCATTTTTTATGTAAATATTGCTATCTGCCACCCATCCATTGATACTACATACATATATGTTTCTAATGGCTATGATGTGCAGAAAATTTATACCTTTTCCCATATTTGTTGAGAAATGCTGAGTTAATTTTATTGTTTCCTTTTACGTTCAGTGACTAATATCCTTATCTGATAGGCCTGTGATTTTCCGCACTTGTCTTTATACCCCTTTTTCGTTTAAATGACAATCATGGCTTCGTCTTTTGATGTTTGCCATTGAGGCTAATTTTATTTCATTTTATTCTGAACTTACATTCACCTATTTTTAGTCCTATCAACTGTTTATGTCAGAATTCTATTATTTTTCTCTGTTAACTGAAAATTTCTTAAACCTAATGTCCGAGCGTACATGGTCAAGAACTGAAGAAGGATAAATCCAGGAAATCTGTCTGCACGGTTGTTTGGTGAGTTAAAGACAGACTATAGAGTAGGTGCAGACATAATGCTTTGATGTTGTAAAGGAAAGATTTTAGATTGGTAAATGAACTAAGATTGAGGATGAAAGCACTGATAGAAATGAGAAGATTGGTTGGTGGAATTCTGAGACCGAAGCAATAGGATTTAAGGTTTGGTTAGTAAGCAATGTAAGAAGGGATGGCTGTTATTCTGGTTGAAATTTTAAGGTAGACAGCAGCAATGTGATAAATGGCAACTGCACAATTCTTTTTACAAAGACAGCATGTAGGCTGGGAGAGGGTGGAAAGGAAAATGGAAAAAAAGTATAAAACTGCCTAAGGGAAAAATGATGCCATTAGAAACACTAAGTTGACTAAATTAGAAAAGCATCTTTATGTTCCAATTCAAATTTAAAACATAATGAGTTCAATTTCATAATTCATGGTTGCTTTGTTTCCCTTAGACATGTCATCAGGTTAACAAAATGAAAACCTGAATTGCCAGTTTTGACACTGTAAAGAAAAGGGTAATCAAATTTTTTCTTCCATGGTTTTATAAAGATTCAGAGAACCGATGTTGGTAAATATAGAATATACCAAAAATAGTTAATGGTCTAGTTGTGTTGATTTCAGTTTATTCATTTTATGGAAAAATCTTTTAGCATGCATGGTGCAAAGAAATTATTGCTGTAGATTTGGATTCTTATATAATGATTATTATGGTTGTGTAGTGGTTTAAAGTTGTTTAATGTATATTATTCCCTTTTTTGGCGAGATTTTCTTTCAAGCATAGCCTCAAAATTTTTTAGTTGATGGAGGTCAAATTTTGCTTGCAGGCAGATGGCCATAGGGTTAGATTGGCAACTCACTCAAATTTTAAAGATTTCGTTTTGAATGCTGGATTAGAGTTCTTCCCTTTAGGGGGAGATCCAAAAGTTCTTGCTGGCTGTAAGTGTCTAGATCTTATCTTAGTAATATTTTTAAACTTCCCTACTTATTTTTAAGGGTAAGGTTAATTCTTTCATTTAGTTGCTGTTGAAATATATATGGGCAAAGGAGGGGGACTGTTTGAGGTAGATTCATTTTTGTTTCTTGATTCTGTTTATTTGTATATTCACACACTTTCTCAACAAATATACCAAAAAGGAAAAACTCCAGTAACATACATTTTTGAAGGGCATTAGGTATATTCTATGAGCAATTGAAAGCTTTTTGTGTGAGAAAATTGAAATTGCAGGTGTCGTGGCTACAACTGATCTCTTTGTGAGAGAAAATTGAAACTGCAGAAAGCTTTTCCATGGTTCTCTTATTTATTTTTCATGTTTCAGTTGAGTCTACATCTGGTCTTTTTTTTTCTTTATCCAGGTTCTGTGGTCTTACATAAAGGTGTCATGTACCTATACGGTTGGTTGATACAGACCTACTTGCTTTCATTCATCTAGTAATTACTAAATATTACTCTACTGCACTACAAAGATGTTGTCAAAGACATTGTCTTGTGTCTAAGTAATGAGACATCATATGAAATTGGAGTTTCACTGTTATGATGTGAATTTTATTTGTAAGGATCACTGAGTTTTCTGCAGATATGGTCAAGAATAAGGGATTCTTGCCGTCAGTTCCTTCAGAAATTCCTGTTCAGAGGCAACAAATAAAGGAAATAATACTCTCTCTACTTCCTGCATGCGAGGCCAATGATCCTGATAGTAAAGTCAAATTTGAAGTAGATGCAATAATTGCCAATCCTCCAGCATATGGTTAGGTCTTATTACCTCTTTTTCGTTTAAAAAAAAATTAAGCAGTATTTTTTTGTCTGATGACAATTGAACACTCTGAGTGGAAAGGGTCTTTCTGATATCTCTTTCACCATCTTGCATAGTTAAACATTTCTATAACATATAACCTAGAGAAACTGTCGAAAACTTGGAGAACAATTGTTCTTTTCTCTTATTGTTTTTCTAGAATGAAGTAGTACATCAAAATAAATAGGAACAATGATGTTCCTTATTAGGAAACAACTTAGATGAAATAGAAAACAAAAATAATAAAAGGGGAATTATTCTATTCTAAAATAGGAACAAATTCCTAAAAACTTCCAATCAGAATTGTTGACTAAATCAGAAGAATAAATGAGAAATATTCCCAAAATAAATTAGGAAACCATGCTGCATTAATGTAGGAGATTCAGATTTCTACACTCCCCCTCAAGCTGGGTTATGAATGTTAATCGTACCCAACTTGGATTTCAATCCGCCAAAGATGCTTCTAGGAAGAGCTTTAGTCAGAATATTTGCAATTTGGTAACTTGTAGGGATATAGGCCAGTTTGACCTACCCATTTTCGATCTTTTCCTTTATGAAAAGTCGGTCCAGCTCTATGTGCTTGGTCCTATTATGATAAACAGGATTTTAGGCAATACTTATAGTAGCCTTATTGTCACAAAACAATGTTATAGATGTCATAGTCTGAACTTATAATTCTCCAAGTAACCTCATCAACCAAATTCCTTCACAAATACCATTGGACGTTGCTTTAAACTCAGCCTTAGCACTGCTCCTAGCTACAATAGCTTGCTTTTTACTTCGCCAAGTGACCAAGTTGCACCAAACATAAGTGTAATGTCCTGTAGTGGACCTTCTATCTGTTACTGATCCAGCCCAGTTAGCATCCATGTACACCTTGATTGCCTTATCCATTGACTTCTTAAAGTATAGACCTTCACTGGGACTCTTATTTTAAGTACTTTAGGATGTGATGAATAGCCTTAAGGTGCTCCTTCGTTGGATTATTCATGTATCTACTCACCACCTCTATTGCAAACCCAATGTCAGGTTGTGTGTGGGAGAGGTATATAAGCTTCCCAACTAGTCTTTGGTATCGCCCTTTGTTCGTGAGAGAGCTTCCATCTTCACTTCCAATTTTATTAGTTGAGTCCATGGGTTTATTAGCTGGTTTGCATCCAATCATACCCGTTTCTTTGAGTATATCAAGTACATACTTAGGTTGGGACGCTAATATTCCATTCTTAGACCGAGCTACTTCCATCCCAAGGAAATATTTAAGGAAGCCCAAGTCCTTTACTTCAAACTCTTTTGCAAAGAGTTTCTTCAAATCATCTATTCCTTCCTTGTGGTCTTCGGTGATTATGATATTGTTCACATAAACAATAAGAACAACTTTTTTTTCCTTCAGTAGTGAACTTAATAAATATAGTTTGGTCAGAATGACATTGAAGGAATCCATACCTTTTCACTGCCTTGGTTAGTCATTCAAACCATGCTCGAGGAGACTGTTTAAGTCCATACAAAGATTTTCGGAGTTTGCACACTTTGCCCATGTTGTCTTGCCTTTCGAAACCATGGGGAATTTCTATGTAGACATCCTCTTCCAGATCACCATTTAAGAATACATTCTTGATGTCAAATTGGTGGAGAGGCCAATTCAAGTTGGCTGCTAGTGACAATAGAACTCTATATGAATTGAGTTTGGCTACCAGAGCAAATATCTCCTCATAGTCTATCCCATGGGATTAAGTGGACCCCTTTGCAACAAGTTTAGCTTTGAACTTGTTTATACTTCCATTTGCATTGTGCTTTATTGTGAAGATCCACTTACATCCAACCGGGTTTTTCCCTTTGGGCAAATCTGAAATTTCCCATGTCCCATTACTCTCTAGTACCTTGATTTCTTCAAGAACTGCTGCCTTCCAATCTGGTTCATTGAGGGCTTCCTCTATTTTTTGGAATTTGCACATTGTCAAGGTTAGTAGTCAAGGCTTGAAAGTTTGGATTTAACCTTTCATATGAGATGTACTTGCAGATAGGGTATTGGATGCATGATCTTACACCTTTTCTTAATGCAATAGGAATGTCAAGGTCACCAGTTGGCTCACAAGTTTCAGTTTCAGATTCAATAGGGACATTACCTGTGTTAGTTTTAGGTTCTTGCAAACTCGGATTAGGTTGATTTTTAGTGCTTGTCTGTGGACAGTTGTCTGCTTCTTCCTGCGTTTTTTGCTTCCTTGAGTTGACTATTAGTTCTTTTGTTTTTTCTTGCATAACCTTAGGGTTTGAAGAGTCAAGAGTTGTCTGAACAAGTTGGGTATTAGAATCTGCATGGCTGATAGGTTGGGTAGGTTGAGAATCAGGTTTTGAAGGGGCTGGTTGGGAAATTGGCAAGTCAATAGCTAAAAATTGATATTCTTGAGTAGTATTCTTCCCCTAAATATCATTCTTGCTGTAGTATGGAAGATTGTCAAAGAAAGTGACATCCATAGAACTATAGAATTTTTTTGTGATGGGAGAGTAACGCCTATAGCCTTTTGGTTTGGGAAATAACCAAGGAAGATGCATTTTAAGGCTTTGGGATCAAGCTTGCTGCGGTTTTGTTGGCTAATATGAACAAAGGCAATGTAGCTAAAGAGTTTGATGGGAATGGAAGATCAACTGAGTTTGTGGGTAGGAAGAAAGGAGAGTTTGACAAGGTGTTTTAAAGCCAAGAACTTGAGAAGGCATTCGGTTAACCAAAAAAGTTGCAGTGAGGACAGCTTTTCCTCAAAAATGTTTAGGCACATTGGAAGTTAACAAGAGGGATCTGGTCACTTCTATTAAATGTCTGTTTTTACGTTTGGCAACCCCATTTTGCTGTGGAGTGTCAATGCAAGAGCTTTGATGGATAAAGCCATGATTGGTGAGGTAAGGACCGAGAATAGATTTGAAGTATTCCCTTCCATTGTCAGTTTTTAAGACTTGATTTTGGCTTGGAATTGGGTTTGTAGTATGTTATTGAAGTTTTGAAAGATTTGGCCAACCTCGGATTTTTCTTTCATAAGGAATACCAAGTAAGTTGAGTATGATCATCGACGAATGTAACAAACCACCTAAAACTTGTGATAATGTTAACTCTTAACAGTACCCAAATGCCAATGTGAATCCTTGAGAAAGACTGAGATGATTGGTGAGGTAAGGACCGAGAATAGATTTGAAATATTCCCTCCCATTGTCAGTTTTTAAGACTTGATTTTGGCTTGGAATTGGGTTTGTAGTATGTTATTGAAGTTTTGAAAGATTTGGCCAACCTCAGATTTTTCTTTCATAAGGAATATCAAGTAAGTTGAGTATGATCATCGACGAATGTAACAAACCACCTAGAACTTGTGATAATGTTAACTCTTGACAGTCCCCAAATGCCACTGTGAATCCTTGAGAAAGACTGAGATGATTTATAGGAAAGGCTGAGGTTGGTATTTTGAGTGTGCTTAGAAAGTTGACAAATTTCACATTGAAAATCTTTGGAGATTTTATTGAATAGTGAGGGAAATAGCTTTTTTATGTATAAAATATTTGGATGTCCTAGTCTATGCTGCCATAACATGATAGGGTCATCCTTACTAGTACTAGAGGCTAAGGCTATACAAGAGTTTTGTAGTCTCTCAAGTGCAACATCTTGAAGAAGGTAGAGCCTAGCACACGTCCTAGCACTACCAATCATCCAACCCAAGCCCAATTCCTAAAATTCACACAAGTTGGGAAAAAATGTAGTGACACAACATCTATCCTTTGTAAGCTTACTGATGGAAAGTAGGTTACAGCTTAAATTAGGGACATGGAGGATAGAGTCGAGTGTTATGTCTTTCGAAACTACAATAGATCCTATTCCTATCACCTTTGATAGAAGCCATCAACTATTTTTACAGTAGAACTATCATAGCAAGGTCTGTATGTGTTGAATAAGGATGCATCTCCGGTTATGTGATCTAATACTTCTGAATCAACAATCCAAGATTGTGTATTTTCCCGTTGAACACTTAAGACATTTAGGAAATTTCTTTTTGTGCTGTGGAACTAGTTCCAAAGGTTGTAGACTTGTTTTAAAGGGTTTGTTGGAGCATTTTTTGCAAGATTTCCAATTGTTCCTTATTAAATGGACTCAGTTCTGTTTGTGGTTGAGGTTCGGTGGCTGCCACGTTTCCTTGTCCATCTCTTTCTCGTGCAGATTTCCAGTTGGAAGGCTTCCCATGGATCTTTCAACAAGTGTCTTTGGTGTCTCTCACCTTCCAGCAATGTTCACAGAGAGGGTTCTTTTTGGACTTGTTATCACCCCCTTGGTTGGCTTGATATCCTTCAGCTACGAGTGTAGAGTTTCCTGAAGTGTTTGGGGAGTTTTGTATTCCCAGCATCATCTTTTGGTGACTTTCCTCATGCCGTACCTCTGAAGAAGAAGAGTTCTCACTTCTGTTGGCCATGACAGAAACTCGTGTGGCTATAGTTTAATGGTTCAGGCCGACTTGCTCTGCCACTATGTAGAAAACTTAGAGAACAATTGTCCTTTTCTCATATTGTTTTTCTAAAATAAAGTAGTACATAAAAATAAATAGGAACAGTGATGTTCCTTATTAGGAAACAACTTACATGAAACAGAAAACAAAAATAATAAAAGGAAGGAGAATTATTCTATTCTAAAATAGAAACAAATCCCTAAAAACTTGATAATCAGAATAGTTGATTAAATCAGAAGAATAAATGAGAAATATTCCCAAAATAAATTAGGAAACCAAGCTGCACCAGTGTAGGAGAATCGGATTTCTACAGAAACATTAGCTGTCCATTTTTTTTGTTCTATATATTCAATGTTCTCTATTTTAATCATGCTGGTATTCTGATATATGAAACTTATGGACTTTTACCTTTTTCTTCTCTCTCTCTCTATCTCTCTCTAATGTGTCTAACAGAAAAAAAAAAAAAAAAAACTTGTTCAGGACATACACATGTTGCAGAGAAGCTAGAAGTACCACTTCATGTATTCTTCACTATGCCATGGACGTAAGTCTTGGTTGATTGTATATTTTGATGCTACAAGTCTTTCTAAATAAACAGGTTTTGAATTGTTCATACACCATTGATTCTGGCATTACTTGTCTTGTATGAAGATAATCAACTTTGGTGTTGTGTTTATGTGACAATTCAATCATTCCCTGGACTGATGTATATTTGTGTATGTGTGTGTGTAGATATTGAGAATGATTAACTGAGTGAATTCTTTCAGGCCTACTAGTGAATTTCCCCATCCTTTGTCCCGTGTTAAACAACAAGTTGGTTACAGAGTGAGTCTGCTTTTCACTTCTTCAGTGTGGGGTTTTATTTATATTTAGATCAACTCATATACTGGTTATCTCTACTGCAGCTGTCATATTATATTGTCGATGCCCTAATATGGCTGGGAATACGGGACATGATAAATGAGTTCAGGAAGAAAAAGCTGAAGCTGAGACCTGTCACATATTTGAGAGGATCCTATAGCTCTCCTCCAGATGTGCCTTATGGGTATTTATGGAGCCCTCACCTTGTGCCCAAACCAAAAGGTCATTTTATTTATATACCCCTTAGGGTGATAAATTTGCTTGCCTTGATTTTATTAGGCAACGTCTCTTTCATTGTGACAATTACTTGTTGGATTGATGATTGAGAGATGTGATGCCACATGACCAATTTCAAGTCTTTTTGCTTTTTCTTTGTTTTTTTCTTCTATTTTCACTTAGCTGTTAAATTTAAAAATAAAGTAAGTTTCTTGGGGAATTATTTCTGAACTATATAGAAACTTTTACAGTGGTTGTGTATATTGGAGTTGTTTTATGGAATCAAATATCTCTGCATATTCTTGCAATACATAGCTTTCCTGTGTTGTATATTTACTTCTTAGTTTTTCCTACAATTGACTAATAACACAAACTTTACGTCCTACTGAACAGTGTAAAATTTAGTCAAACATTGATTGGCTTTTTGTTTGAGTCTACCATCTGAGTCCTAATTTGTCAGTGCTTGGGAAACTTAATTTCATTTTGGTGGTTCCTTTTAGCTCAGATTACCTACGTAGTTTGTTCTGAATCATTTCTCTTTAATTTTGCTTTCAATATCCTAGAACATTTTGTTCTCCTGTTCTAACTGGTGGGGAGATGAGACTTTTTTTCCCTTCCCCTACTTTATTCTTGTTCGTAGTTGACTAGCACTTTGTGATCTTCTGTTCTGACCTCTTAAAAGTATTATACATCTCTCTCTCTCTCCTTTTTTTTTTTTTGGTGGAAAAACAGCGGAAGAATATGGCCACTGAGTTTCCCCATCTTCTGCTCCCTTTTCTGGTGGGACTTGTCTTCCTGTTAGTTTGTCTGCTGCTATCCCTTGGCTGGTATTTGTGTCCTTTCTTTTTCTATTTGTCTTGCATGTGGTTTATTAAAGTTTGTTTTTATCATTTCCTCTTTCAGTAAATAATATTTATTTTCTTTCTTTCTTTGTTGACGTCTTGGCTTCATTAGTTGCTGAAGACTCCAAGTTACTCATTGATGCTGGATGGAAAGGAGTTTCTTGATGAAGTGCACAACTTAAGACTTTATTTTGTTGATTTTTTGTTAATATTTGTAGGAGTTGTTATATAAATTAAGGATTTTTTGGTTATCTTGCTTATTTATATTAATTATTGTTGTTTATTTCCCAAGGACTACCGACTTAAGGTTTTTGTTATAATTATGTTGTTTGAAGTTTCAGTAGGTTCTGCAATATATATATATATATTTTTGTTACGTGTAATATTGAGCTACACAATGATAGGTAGCCTCTCCCATCCCTTAAATCCCACCCTTCCCATCCCAGAATTGAGACCAGAGACCTTCAAGTTGGAGTCTCAAGCTCTGGTCGCTGGGGTGTCCCATTGGAGACATGGAGTGTGATTCATTGAGATTTTATAAAATTGAGTTTAAGAGTTCCCTCTCTATTGATTCTTGCTGGTTCTCTCCATCAATCTTCTATTTCTCTCCTATTTTCCTCTGGTTCTTCCCCACTTCTCCTTGATTCCCTCTGATTTGTATTTTTTCTCTCTTTTGTTGTACATCTCTGTCCATATTTTCCTTTTGCTTCATCTTGTTCTAAAAATGACCACTCTAGCTTTTTATATCCCATTGAACAAGCAGAAGGAAGAATATTATAGTCCTGTACTTGGTGGACTTATTATCTGGACTATCTTGGCCATTTTGCTTTATCCTATTGTGGTTTTTCTACCATAACTATCTGTAGACGTTTTGGACTCTGACTTTTAATTCAAGATCTTTTTACTTGATGCTATTTTCTGTGTATTTTATCATAGATATCATTTCCATACCTGAGGACTGAGTTATTTTAAGATACTATTAAGAGTGTTGATATCCTGGACTTTTTCTAAATTTTTCCTCTCCATTTGTACATTTTGCTAGGAACAAATGTCCAAGACAAAAATGTCACGCATATTGGTGTTAGTGTTGGCATTTGAAGGATGTATGTCTGATATGATATAGTTTTCTCCTGCAGACTGGGGACCAAAGATTGATGTAGTTGGCTTTTGTTTCCTTGACCTTGCATCCAGTTATGAACCACCAGAGTCACTTGTAAAATGGCTAGAAGATGGTGAAAAGCCTATCTATATTGGTTTCGGTAGTCTTGTGAGTTTCCTTCTACAAGTCCTTTCCATCTTTTGAATATTTAGCATAATGAAAGATTGTAACGGTTTATTCTTCTTGCACAAATTTGATATTCTTTATATTAAACTGTCTCTAAGGTTGTGTTTGTGAACTTGAATTTGAAAGAAGGGATTTAAATTTTAAATTTAGTATAAATATGTAGTAAAAATGACTTGCATGATTATTTTTTAAATTCCTGGATTTATTATATCTCTTTTGATTGGTAAACTCCATAACACCTATAATTTTAAATTCATCTTCTTGAGTTCTTGTACCTTTTCTCTTTTTTTGGTACAAAGGGAGGCAAAAGCCTGGAAGGAAATTGGGGAAGGACAAATTTGCAAGTGCTAGGTATTGAATCCCAATTTTGTGGGAATCCACCTCCTAAGAGAGGTGGGTGGACCATTTGGACCAAACCCCAGGTTTCATACCTTTCTAGTGCGTAGGTGTATTGAATCTCAACTCATTTTTACGTAGTGTGTGCATTTCATCCTAACAAATTTTATAAGTTATAACAAACAAAACCCAAATTCATGTTTCCAAACATAGCATAAAGTAGTTTTCACAAGTATATGTTCTTTCTCTTTTCCATTTCCTTATGATTTAATTGATTATTTTTATTTTTTGAATTATTTATATGCTATTAACTTTACTTTTCAAAGTAATTAAGTGCATTAAACCCTCTTTATCTTATTTCAGTGTAAAAAAAGATTTGTATTGGCTTCATTAAGCCACCCATTCTATTTCTTTATCACGTTCAATTGATCTTGACTTAAATTGCTCTAACTGCTTTTAACTTCTAACAGCCTGTTCAGGAACCTGAAAGGATGACCCAGAAAATAGTACAAGCTCTAGAGAAAACTGGACAAAGAGGCATCATAAACAAAGGCTGGGGTGGTCTTGGCAGTTGTAATTTCACTTGCTCTTTTCTCATATTTCATTGGTTGGATGTTTAGTTTTGTTCAGTGTGTGGAAGTGGATCTGCTTAATTATCTTTTGTCCAGTGGCAGAACCAAAGGACTTTGTGTACTTAGTGGACAACTGCCCTCATGACTGGCTATTTTTACAATGTGTGGCTGTGGTAAGTTGTAAATGTAAAACTTTGAGCTCCAAGGGCTGTTGAAATGATTTGCTTTTCTTATTTTATATTTGATGCCATTCTCATGCAAGTGTCTAGATATTTATGCGCAATGAGCTTGGTGAATCATGATTTGTAAATTTTATATGTAGGGATAGTGTGTTATATGCCACAAACAATTGCTCCATTTTAGGACCTGTAAACTAGTGGATTGGTAAACTTCTTGGCCTGGGAGTGTTTGTTTTTTTTAATGCTTTTGCATAAAGTTGTTGTTGTCTGCAGTTCCTTCGTATTCTAAGTCATGGCAATAATAGGGCTTATAGTTGCATTTGAAGCATTTTTTAAGGGGAAAGGCCATCATTCAAGTATTTCATTTTGTTACATTTTGCTTAGTCACTAGTTGAATGCATCATTATCATGCCTTTTAATGTAAGATTGGCCTAGTAGTTTTTACCTTCCTTAGGAGGATTTAGGTCCAAGGTTCGGACCTCCCCCTTGTACCTCCAATATGTACCAAAAAAATTATCCTGAAGTTGAATTATTGCAGGGTTACTCTTTTTTAACAAACCATAGTTGGTTTAGGGCTAAAAAGAAAAAAACTTATAACCTATAACCGAAAAGGAGATATATCTTCAAAATGTCCAGAAAGGATGTTGAATGCTTATGCCTTGGAAAGGGAAAGCTCTTCCATAGCCATTAAATGATATTTTAGTTTTGGGATCAGTTATTGGAACTTCCAATTTCAGTTTGTGTACCTTAATCTAAATTTTAGGTTTGTTCATTGGAATATTGTGAAACTGGTTAGTAACGGGAAGGAGTGTCTCCCAGTTTTCTTTCAATACCATGCGTGTTGGTTTCTGCCCCTTCTAGTTGTTCCTAAATGGATTGCCTGATGTCTTTACTTCAGTAACACTGTTTACTGTTTTGGTTGCCAACTGCCAGCTGAGACTTGCTGAGCTGGTATCAACTCAGTGTCTCAAAATATCAAACCTGATTTGGACTATTGCCTACTTTCAATTTTCCTATTCATTCTCCCACTTTCCTCAAATAACATTACATTTTTGTTTCTTCCTACCTTTTTTTATTTTATTTTATGTCTGCAGATTAAACTTTGTCGTTGCTTTATTTTCTTAAATTTTTAATACTTATTTTAACTTACAAAATTTGCTTTATTAATCTTTATCCATGTTCTTTGTCTACAATGGGCTAGTATCAGAAAAAATGCATTGATGAGATGTGGCTTCTTAAATGAAACAGTTATCTCATTACTTTTTACCATTAAATGTTTTGAAGAAATTATATAAATGAGGGCTGGAACAATAAAGCCCTATTTTGTCTGTATAGATATATTTATTTGTTGATTTGACCATTATATGTAATTGGAAATGTGATGTTATGTGTAACTTGTTTTCTTGCATAAAAGCATATAAATTGCTTTCCTTATTGTTGCAAGGTATTGATTCTTATATAAATTACGTGCCGAGTTGATGCATTTTCTGCTTTGCTTTTTTGATCATTTTCTGAAATACAAACTGAAGTGTACAAATATATCTCATTTAGAGTATTTTGAACATAAGGCTTTTTTTTTTTTTTTTGCTTTGGGGGAAGGCGAGGTTGTTCAAGTTGAAAGGATTTTAAGTTTTGCATTCTTTGTTATGGCTCATCCAAAATTTAGGTATTAATATGTTATGGCTGCTAAATAACTAATTGAAACACCTTATGGTTCCCTTGATATGTTTTGATTGTTTCCTTGGATGTTTTCCCCAGGTTCATCATGGTGGAGCTGGAACTACTGCTGCTGGTCTCAGAGCTGCGGTAACCTGCCATCTCCAAGAGTATATCCATTTGATTATTTTTCCACTTTTTAAAGTCATTTGTACTCTTGAATACAGTGTCCAACAACTATTGTACCTTTCTTCGGAGACCAGCTTTTCTGGGGAGAGCAAGTGCATGCCAGAGGAGTAGGTCCTGCACCCATTCCTGTTGACGAGTTCTCATTGGACAAGCTGGTTGATGCTATAAACTTTATGCTGGATCCTGAGGTAAGATGAATTTCCTCTAGAATTAACTTTCAGACAGTTTAAAAAAAAAAAACACCCTTAGAGATCTGCATTAGTTCTTATTGTTACTAAAAAATTACCATTTTATTAATCTGATTATTATTATTTTTTTTTATAATTGTTGTTATTCAGATTTGAATCTTGATTTACTCAAACAAAGAGTTCGACAGTGTTATTTTATTAATCGGTTTTGATTAAGTCATTAGCTTTATATTTAACTTACAACCTTTTTAGACGTAGTTAAATTGCAAAAGAACAACAGCCATCTCTTAAAGGTTTAATACAGTGTTCTGATTTTTTTGAATGTTTTACGATAATTTTCATATTTTACATATCACGAATATACAAATTATCGCGTCTAAATGTTATGATTTCTTTGAATGTTGTGCTGTAGATGTTGAAAAGAAATTGGTTTCGTGCAGGTGAAAAAGCTTGCTGTTAAGTTAGCGAAGGACATGGAAGGTGAGGATGGAGTAGCAGGTGCAGTAAATGCCTTCTATAAACATTTTCCTGGCAAAAAACCTAAGGACGAAACCGTTCCAGCCCCACCTCCTTCAGGATTATTTTCTATAAGACGCTGTTTTGGTTACGCTCACACATAATTTTCAAGCTTCATCTTTTAATTTTAACTCAGCGTTGTAATTGACCGAAGCTACTAATGATAGTTATCTCCTTCAGTTGGGCCGAAAAGGGGGAAAAAGGCGCAAGAAAAGAAAAGTGCTGCCTTATTAAATTGGTTCCTCTATGAATCAATGTGCTCACTCTTTTTACTAGCTATTTGCATATGTCAAAAATGGAGCTTGGACTTAGCAGTTTGGACTTCAATCTATGGTAGTCCCTTTCTTTTTATTGCAGAATTGGAAACGGGTTTTACAGTGGGTATGAAAACCTAAAAGTTTTGGCTGATTAATCTTGATTTTCCGTGTTTTGATCCAATTTTCTGGATGGGTTTGATCGATCTCATCTTGGAAAATATTTTAAATGCAATTTATTGGATTAAAAAAAGAAAAGCCTAAAAGAATTTTAGAAAATTTTTACGACACATAAACGGGTCAGATTTTGAATGCAGTCGGGTTTGAGGGGACCCTACTGAAACGTTGAAGACAGTCTGGGTCAGCTACCTAGCAAAGTCCATCTGCCTGTTAAGACGTGTTGAGCGCGTGAGGGCCCATTTAGAAGTAAACGAAATTCTAATGTACTTTTTCTTTTTATAAATATTTATAAATGAGATTATTATTATTATTTTTTTTACATAAGTTTTGGAAAAGTTAAATTTTTGGATAAGTTTATAATTTGTCAAAAATTTATTTTCAAAAAACTATATGATTTTTTGAAAATTTATTTTTGAAAAATTATAAAATCTTAGAAAGTTGTAAGAAGAATAATTAAAAATTTTTATTTATAAAAAATTTGGAAAAAAATATTAAGATGTGTAGAGAAAAAATAAGGATGCACTCAATTTAATATTGACCTTTAATACGATAATGAATTTGGTCTCAATATTTTTAAAAAAATATTTTTGTTTCATAAATTTCGTGAATAAATAAGCTATTTCAGTCAATGAAACATTTGGTTTAATTTTAAATTTTAAAATTTAAGCTCTATTATATGTGAATTTAATTTAATTTTAGGATAGATTTATTTAATTATATTTTAATTTATTATTTGATTTAGTGGTTTTTTATATATAGATGTGACAATTAATTATAACACGAATTATAATTTCTCTAATATTTATAATTTCATAAAAAAATAAACTACTTCAAAGCAAGGCACGAACTTGCGTTTCCTGCTTAAATTATAAATGGGCTTACATTAACAATGTTAAAATGTTATTATTCCATATTTATTAAACTTTGAGGTCTTTTTCTCATATTTAAGTTGGAGTTTTTTATTTATTGACAATTAATTTTAAATTAAATGTTTAATATGACATCAAAACACTTGTTTTATAATTCATCTTTATATATTTTATTTAAGTTTATCACATAATAATTATATGTATATGTGATGTAAATCTATTAAAATGATATAATTTGATATATTTTAAGTCTTAAATTTAATGTGATTTTTATATTTAAAGGGAGCTCTTTTATCTATTATTATTAATTTTAAGTTGTTAGCTCGACAAATAAATCAACAGCCTGAATCTAAAACCTCTTTTCTAGACAGAAATGTATCTAATCGAATGAATCGATTACAATTTGATAAAAATGTCCATTATATATATATATATATATATATTGTTTTTTACATGAAACGCGTAAATACTCTTTAAAGCCGGCAAGATAATTATTGTTTTTTAAGTTTCAAAACAAATAAAATTTTTTTTCAAAGTCACAAATCGAAATCTCAAAGTAGCTTCGTTGACTTGGGGCTAAGGTCTTTCTTCCACCTCGTCTTCCCAGATTATATTACGAGTTTGTGTCTAGGGCTGTAAACGAGCCGAGCCGAGCCGAATAGTGAGAAGCTCGAGTTCGAGTTCGACTCACAATTCGGGGCTCGATATTCGATTCGAGTTCGATCGAGTTTTGTTTTTCAAGTTCGAGCTCGATTCGTGATCGAATTCGAGCTACTCGAGCTCGCTCGATTAAGCTCGATTAATATGTAAAAATAAGTTCGATTCGTATACTCGATAAGAGTTCGATTATTCATACTCGAACTCGAACTCAAACTCGGACTCGAAATATTTTATTAATTAAAATAATAAAAATATATTTAAATATAAAAGCTCGATTAGGCTCGCGAGCTACTCGAGTCAGATATAAGAATACTCGAATTCGGCTTGATCGATAAGTCAAGCTACTCGAGCTCGAGCTCGACTCGACAATAATCGAACCGAATTCGAGTTTTTTTCGAATCGAACCCGAGTAGCTTGCGAGTACTAATGTATCATTTACACCCCTATTTGTGTCACACATTTATCTGCTTCCATTTCTCTCTTGTATCATTTCTACGTCACCTTTAAATAATAAAGAATTAACATTTTTTTAATAAAGTATATTTATAATTAAAGGTTATAATCCAAATCAAATCATATTAAATTTTGTGACAAACATTCAATTTAAACTAAATTAATGATAGTGGAATGCTTTGACATATTTATAATTTAATATATCAACTTAATTTAAGTAGAATTTTTTATTATTTAATTATATTTCATAGGCCTAACACGAAGGAGGAAAAATTAAAGAAGGTCGAATTTGTTTTGATATCATATTAAATTTAAGTTAAGATGTTGATTTTAATTTAATTAAGATTTTAACTTTTCATCAAATTTTATCGACGTAAGTGTTATTTATTTTTTAAAATTAGGAAGAAAGTGGTTTTATACTCAACTATTTTAGATTATAACTGAATTTACAATTAAATCAAGGATGAATTTGACATTAAAACCACCTAGGATGAATTTGACAGAATATCAATTTTATCACTTATCTAAAATTAAAACGTTAACCTCTTTTGTATAGAAACTAAATCAAAATTTTTATAGACTGGAGGATTGAGCCTGCCCGATTAGCAGTGGTTGAAAATATAAGAGTTATGTCGAGCCAGTTTATAAAATTCTTTCAAAGTTGGCTGTTCTTTTAACAATGTTTGCTTTCATCTTTGTTGCAATGTTGTTATAGTTATAGAATTATCTCCAAGTCTAAAGCAAGGTTGCTTGTCGGATGCCCAAGTTCAATTAAGACAATGTTTCTATGTTTTTGTGAGACACTGAAGCTCAGATTCCTTAAGACGGTAAAGAGGTTATTCTTTGGAAAAACTTCATTTGCCTGCTTTAGCTATGCCTTACATCGTCACAACCGCTTGATAGATGGTTCTGGAACTTTGTGATTACCGGACAAACGGGCAACAATGTCCATTATGCCATGGTACCGGAAAAACTATTCCCCTTCACACCAACTCTTTCCTTTGCGCGACTTGAATTTTCTCTACTTGTTTCTTAGTAGATTACAGCAGTTTGGAGTAATTAGCTTAGAACTCTGTTTTACGAGTCTGTTAATGTAAGACAACTGCATTTGTTTAGTTGTAAGTTCCTGTCAAATGAAGATTCTCTTGTCATCCTATCAAGATTAACTCATCAAGTCTTACGCTCTCTTCCTCATTTGTGAGCAAAGATTCTCTTTATCAAATACCGTACTGGATTAGCCTTTGAAGCTTGGGAATTTGGATTTTCAGTTGAAAACAAATACCTTGTGGTTAACTGTCCACGGATCAAAATAAGATTTGATTTCTGTTGGTTATTTATTTTGCTGACGCATTTCTAATGAAGGCTTTTAAAGCATCGCATTTCAACATATTTGATGTGTTGGACATTCTGCTTCTGATATTTATAACCTAAAACCTCATATTTATAATTCATTCCTTTTGCTTGATACTGATGTATTCTAGGCATTAAAATGAAGCCTTTATGCTTCCTTATAAAAGTGTACAAACCAAAGTAAAAATATTTCTAGGATGGAAGATTTAGGCTATTAAATCAGAAGGTAACCTCATTCATATACATTTTCATGTGTATTTGAAAATATAATATTTATCTTACATTTGTCTATAAAATTCTTTTCACCTTGTAATCTTAACTAATGTTATATTTTATAGAATATTCACGATTCTAAAGAAGGCGATGCATAGACAGATCAGTCGGTTTTGAAGAAAAGTGTCAATGAACATTTTCAAAAAAAAAAAAAAATTTTTTGAAAATTTTTTTTTCCTTATACCCCAAAATTTTTTTGAATATATTTTTCATCGATAAAATTAATAAATCCGTTTTGATAATCTTATAAAAAAAAAAAAAATCTTGGATCCATTATTCTATATCTGTCTCGTGCCTATGCTGGATATAAAGTGCTGAAACTGAAGAGCCAATTGCATTCCAAAGAATGTTAATTTCTATGCTTTTGTGAGGATTACAGCTAAAGTTCCTGCGAATCTTTTTGCTGAAGTGAGATAGTGAGAGGGTATCCTTGTGCGAAACTTAATTAGTCTTCTTTATAGCTATGTCTCACATTTATCATATAACTGCTTTATAAATAGAACTGGCACTTTATTGTTGCAGAATAAAGGGCTTGCTGTGTAATTTACGAAGCATTTCTCTGTTGTAGCACCAACACTGCCACATTTCATGGTACCATCAGACATTTCACGTCTTACCAATATTGAATTTGAATTTTTATGTAAGTTATTGAGCTTTGGCATTTAAATTTTTTAAAATAAGATTTTTAAAGTTATTAATTTTTTACGTTGAAAGATTTCACGATAAAATTTTCAAAATTAGAGTTTTTATTGAAGTTTTTAAATTTATTTTAAAAAAATAAAAAATTAAAAAAAAACTTTTTCATTTGTTTGTGTTCAATTGTGTTTTGTTTTGTTTGATGATGTTTCTATTTTGAGTCAGAAGAGGTCAATTGGTTCGTTGGTTCATCCGACATAAAATTATTGTTTTTTGTTTTTGTTTTATTAGTAATTTTTAGTAATGTGTAAACAAAAGGTTATAAATATCAAATTTTATCTAAATTGATCAAAATAAATCTTTGAATTTTGTTTACAAATTTTAAATGTCCAAATTTATTGATCATGTTTATTGTTTATTGAATAAATTTATTATATAATTTTATTTCTTTTATTAAATAAAAAAAGTGAAGAGAGTAAAAAAATTTAAGCGATTAAGGGAACAAAGAATAATGGCCGGCCAACTTCACTATGTTTCCTTCCCATCTTTTCTTCTCATGTGCATCCACTTTCTCTTCCTTTAATAGTTAACTTCACTATGTTACTTTCTATATTAGAGGCTTTTCTTTCTACTTGTTTCATTGTAATTTTCTTTTTTGGTTTCGCTAACCTTTTGTTCTCTGTTTTCTTTTTTGTTTACCTGCAGATTTTGTTATTCATTTTGCTACCTATTTTGTTTCTCAGAACTTAGAAAAAAAAGAAAAAAAGAAAAAAAGAAAAAAAGAAAAAAAAATGCAATTTGTTGTTGCCATCGTTAGCTCTTTTGTAGCCACCATCGTTAGCTCTTTTGTAGCCGCCATCGTTGGCTCTTTTGTCGCCACGGCTGCAGAATACACGATCTCTCACATCAAAAACCATATCAAATACCTTTCCAATCATGAGAACCAGATTCAGACCCTCAAGAATCAAGCTGAGAGCCTGAAGGATGCAAGAGAAAGAGTGCAGCACTCGGTTGATGCTGCTAAACGAAACGGGGAGGAGATCTATCATGATGTGGACAACTGGTTGACTACAGTCGACAAGATCGCTGAAGAAGTAAAGAAAGTATTGCAAGATGAAGAAAAAGCAAAGAAAAAGTGTTTCATCGGCTTGTGTCCTAATTTTTGGACTCGTTACAAGCTTAGCGTGAAAGCTGAAGAGAAGACGAAGGCTGTTGCTGAGCTACTTGAGCAGCGGGACAAATTTGACAGGGTTTCTTTTCGTGCACCACTTAAATGTTTCGAAGAATTCAAGTCAAGGATGTCGGTTTTGAATGGAATCAAGGAGGCACTGAAAGATGATAGTATCTACGTTATAGGGGTGCATGGGATGGGTGGCATAGGAAAGACTACGCTAGTCAAAGAAATTGCTAGACAGGTCAAGGAGGGCAAGTTATTTGATTCAGTGGCTATAGCAACTGTAACTCAGACCCTTGATGTTAAGGGAATTCAAGACCAAATTGCAGATTTATTGGGTTTAAGATTTGAGGAACCGAGTATGGAAGGAAGGGCACGTCGACTGCGAGACAGCTTGAAAAAAGAGAAGAAGATTCTTGTTGTTTTGGATGATATATGGGAAAGGTTAGATCTTGAAGAAGTTGGGATTCCTTTTGGAAATGAACATGAGGGATGCAAGATTCTGCTAACTTCTAGAGATTTCAATGTCTTATCAAGTGGGATGGATACTCAGGCAAATTTTGCAGTTGGCCTTTTAAATGAAGAAGAAGCCTGGGACCTGTTTAAAAAGATGGCGGGTGACTGTGTTGAAAGAAATGATTTGCGGACCACAGCTATTGAAGTAGCAAATAAATGTGCGAGGCTGCCAATCGCCATTGCAACAGTTGCAAGGGCTTTGAGAAACAAAGATTTGTTTGAATGGAAGAATGCTTTGCGTGAACTAAAGAGGCCTTCATCAAGAAACTTTAAAGGGGTAACAGCGGACGTATATTCGGCAATAAAGTTGAGTTACAATTATTTAGAAAGTGAGGAAGTTAAGTTGACTTTCTTGCTTTGCAGTTTCTTAGGCCATAATGGGTTGATTCAAGACTTGTTGAAATATATAATCGGTCTGGGTTTGTTTCATGGCGTTCGCACAATAGAGGAAGCAAGAGACAGTGTATTGACAGTGGTGAGTAAACTGAAAGCCTCTTGTCTGTTGCTTGATAGTTACAACAATGAACGGTTTGATATCCATGACGTTGTTTGGTATGTTGCTACATCAATTGCCAGAAGCGACCGCTGCATGTTTGCGCTAATAAATGATGATGTGCTGAATGTGTGGCCTGAAAACGAGGCGATGAGAAATTGCAGTTGGATTAATTTACTTTATCCTGATATTAGTGAGCTCGGTGAGCTTCCTGAGGAGATGGAATGTTCACTTCTTTCCTTTTTCCATATGGCTCACGAAGGTTCAGTGGAAATTCCAGCCAACTTCTTTAGACGAACAGAAAGACTCAAAGTCTTAGATTTGACTGGAATGCACTTTCCATCCCTACCCCTGTCAATTGAACTCCTCACACACCTTCACACGTTGTGTCTAAGCCAATGTGCACTAGAAGACATTGCCATCGTTGGGAAGCTCAAGAATTTAAAAATCCTGAGCCTTGCTCGATCAGACATTGAAGTACTACCTCAGGAGATAGCACAATTGACTCAGTTAAGGATGCTAGATTTGAGTCATTGTACTAGACTCAAAATCATCCCACCAAATGTCTTGTCGAGTTTGTCCAAATTAGAAGAATTATATTTGGAGAATAGCTTTGCTCAATGGGAAGATGAAGTACTCGGCAAAGACAGGAGAAATGCTAGTCTTGGGGAGTTAAATCATTTGTCTCATCTGACCACATTTTATGCTCTTATTCCTAATGCCCAAGTAATTCCAAAACATATGTTCATTCGGGCATTGGACAGATACGGGATTCTCATTGGAGATGAGTGGGAAAGGTACAATGACTATGAATACTCAAGAACATTGAAATTCAAGTTGTATACAAGCATTCACAGGGATCATGGGGTAAAAATATTGATGAACAAGACTGAGGATTTACATCTGGATCAACTTAAAGGCATCAAGAATGTACTTGCTGAGTTAAATAATGGGGAAGATTTTCCAGATTTAAAGAAACTTCACATCCAAAATGGTCGGGAGGTCCAATATATCGCAACAGAGAAAATTAAGCTTTCTCGATTGCAGTCCATGACACTTGAAGGTCTGCCACAGCTCATTAACTTCTGCTCTCAAGACAAAAGGTGTTCCACATCCCAGCCGGAGCAGGGAAACACGAGCTCTGAGCCCTTGCCACTTTTCAATACGCAGGTATTAATTTGTTTTGTGGATTATTCCATATTCCAACTTTGGCTTTTATGGATTAGACAAAAAAAAAAAAAAACTTTAGCTTTTGTGCATATTTTCGTACATGTTAAAATATTAAAAAAAAGTACTTAAATTATTTTATTTTTTAAATAACTTTTTATGTTTTTATCGTATCTAAATAAATTTTTATACTTTAATTTATATTTAAATAAGTTTTTATTTCAAACGAAATATTACAATTTTTTTTTCTAATTCTATTTAATTAGAGAATAATTAACCTTTTACATAAGTAAAGGTTTTACTTTAGCATTTGTGATAGTGAGAAACTGAGATTTTATATGTATGATGCTTTAAGTAAATGGCTTATTTAAGTGTAAATTAAATATCAAGATCTTATTTGGATACAATAAAAATATAAGAATTTATCTAAATAATGTGATAAAGCTAATGGATATTTTTGTTGTTTTAGCCTTTCTTATAGAACTTTTATTTATACTCCAATTATGTAACGGCCTCAAACAGTGTTAATTAATTGTTGAATTTGCCTTATGTTAAACCTTGTTCATGCTTTCTCATAGGTTTTTAGGAATTAAATATTGATTATTAAAATTAAATATTTAACAATAAAACACATGACTCACTAACAAGTGTCCTTAATCTTTTCAATTATGAAACTATAATATGAAACGATCACTATTGTTGAAACTATGCAAAATCTCTCTGGCTTTTATAGTTTCTCTTGAAGAAGTCCATAATCCGTTTAAATTATTTTATATTAAAGATGTAATATTTAATATGTACAGTAAGTTATGAATCAATATTTGAAATGATTGTTGGATATATTACATGTTTGGCTATTTATATTTTTATTTTGATCATCTAATTACAAAAAATTTATAAATTGAACATTATCGTTAGTAAAAAATTTAATCTTTTGTCAATCAAATGTTAAAGGCTAAGGGTTGATTGATATAATTTTTTAAGTTCAAAGACATTTGCTAGGGTGTTGTCATTTCAGTTTATATGCACATGACAATATCACCGGGACATTATAAATTTTAGAAAAGATTTAGATATTAAAAAACTGATAAGTTATTCATTTTGTCACTTAACTTTTTAAGAGTTTTTGTTTTAGTCACCAAAGTTTAAAAAGAAAATTTTATAACAAACGGTTTGTAAAATTTGTTAATATTTTAATTTTTATTTTCAATTAGATCTTGTTATCCATGTAATATCATAATGATTTAGTCACTATTGACATGGTTGAATTAATAATTTACTGTTTATTTTTATACTTGTATTTAAAATATATATATATATATATATGCGTGCAGTTTGTGTTCTCTCACTTGGAAAGCGTGCGATTGTCCTCAATTAACGCCAAAAGAATATGGCACAGCCAGCTTTCAGAGACATGTTATGGCGTTCCGAATTTAAAGAGCTTGATCATTGAGGGCTGTGACAACTTGGAATATCTATTATCGCCCTCTATTGCTAGAAGTCTGGTGCAGCTCAAACACTTTAAGATAGAGAAATGCATGTGCTTAAGAGATGTAATATCTACAGAGGAAATAGAAGAAGAAAAGGAAGCTGTGATTTGTTTCCCTCGATTAGACTCCCTGGAGATACAGAATCTTCATAATCTCATCAAATTCTGCTCAGGAAATTACAATATTGAGTTCCCAGACTTGAAAGTGCTGACAATCGAGCATTGCCCAAAATTAAGAGAATTTATTTATGAAAATAAAACGGAGGGGAACTATCAGTCTAGTACACAAGCTCTCTTCGATGAGAAGGTGAGTTAATAGTCTTTCATTCTTACTTCTGTTCTCTCTTTGTTTTCATTTCTCCTTGCATTTTTGCCTTAATTTTATGAACTAACTTTAGCATCGGCATGTATTATTATATAGGCTGCAGTTCCTAGCTTGAAAAGCATGACAATCTCCCACTTGAGAAATGTGAAGAAGATATTTCATAACGAACTTCTAGCTGGTTCCTTCTGTAAATTAGAAGAAATGGCAGTTGAAAACTGTGATGAGTTATTGACTGTTTTTTCATCTACTATAGTCGGAGTATTTAGCTGTCTGGAAAAGCTTAAGGTGCAAAACTGTGGTTCACTACAACAGATATTTGAGGTTGGAGGGTTAAATATCAAAGAAACACACGCTGTACATTGCCAACTAAGAGAATTGTACATTTTTCAGCTACCAAAACTGAAGCACGTTTGGAACGATCCCCTTGGAATTCTTGCATTTCAAAATCTACGAAAAGTAGATGTATGGCTTTGTCCAAGTCTGATAAATCTATTTCCAGCGTCAACAGCCAAAGATCTTCCTCAACTTGAAATTCTAACGGTGAGTTTTTGTGGGGTGGAGGAGATTGTGTCGGCAGGGGAAGGATTGGAGAACCCTCTTGGGTTTAAGTTTCCTCAAGTGTCTTACCTGAAGCTTACACACCTGAATGACCTCAAATGGTTTTGTCCAGGGCAACACACAACAGTTTGGCCGATGTTGAAAAAGTTGGAGACAGATTATTCAACTTTACTTAAGATAGTAGCTTCCGAACGTCTTAGCATCCAAGAATTGAATGGGAATGACCAACGAGAATCTACAATTCGACAGCCACTTTTCTTGGTTGAAGAGGTATGATTATGAACCTTCACTATTTCCTTTAAAAAACTAAAACATGGTCACATGCATGGCACATCAATGATCGATATTTGTTACTAATACAATAATGAAATTTTAAGTTATTACATGAAATATATTAATAAATGTGTTTTTAAATTTATCATTGATTTAATAACAATAATACTAAAATCAATACCTATATATAAAAGCTATCTCTAATTGAATGAGATTGCTCATTTTGGGATTTTGGACCATAATTTTTGGACAATTAAGAATTGTCATAAATGATCATTTGGGTTTAATTGGGTTAATGATGATTTGGGTTTAATTGGATATAAAATTATATTATATTTAGGGTTAAATTATTAAATTACCTCTAAAGAGATTAATTGGTTTTAAGGATATTTTTATCAAGGTAAAGGAATAATAAACAAAAACGCTAAGAAAAGAAACAAATTGAGAAAGAGAACAAGAAAACAAAGTAATAAAATAATTTGGAGAAAAGAAAAAAAAAAGAGTTTTGGTTTTTTTATTTTATAAAATTTTTTAATATTTTGCTATTCTTAAATATTTTTTTTCTTTTAAAATATCTTCGAAAATAATATAATTTAGAATAATTTAAAAAATATTAAACATGTACTTTTAGTAACTAGCTTTTTTTTTTTTTTAATTGAGGAAAATATTTTGAACTCTTTTGCTTTTTAAAGAGACAATGAGGAAGAAGAATAAACTACTTAAAATGAAAAAATACATTTTTTTTTTATTTGTTTTCTCATGTTTCATGTTTCATTTTCACTTTTTATGTCTTTTCAATAAAATATAGCCTAAAAATTTTAAAAATTAAAATTTTATGAACAAATTTGGATATTTTAAAAATAAAAAAAAGACATGTTTTGATTTTTTCATGGTTTTAGTATTTAAAACAATTTTGAATCTTTTTCTTTGTTATTTTCCTTTATTTTCTTAATCTTTATTTTTTAATTACACTTAAGTAAAATATTTTTATATTTTTGATAAAAGAAAAATAGAGATAAAACTTAAAAGGAAAAGGTATGAAATCTTTTCATTATTACATTTTTTTATTATTTTTTTCTTTCTTTATTTTTTTCTTAAATATCTTTCTTGTAGAAATTTATGATTTAATATGACATGTGTCAAAAAATACAAAATATAAAAATCTCAATTTAAATTGTTCTCGATAATGGAAAGTCACAAAATATAGTTTTCTAAAAATAAATTACACCAATAAAAGTTTAAATCTATTCAATAACATTATCATATTTATGATTTGCATCCAACTTGTAAGGAATTATTCATTTTGGGCTAAAAGTTTTATTATTTTATCTTATAAAAAATATCTTACAAATATGAATTTAAATATATATATATATATCATATCGTATCTTTACACTTAATCAATATGAGATTAGGGGCATTATAATCTCTTTGTTAAAACTTGATGTTCTCGTCAAGCTTAACACATACCGCACAGAATCAAAATTCAAGGCAGGGTTCTAAAGGTAGTTTTTATTGTGTAGCGTTTAATTTTTGAACTTTTAGTTGGTGATTGTTCTAATACCATTCGTAAAGACTTCTACTTAACTTAAGAGATATTATTTATTTTAATTTAAAAATTTTATGATTTTGTCCTATAAAAAATCTCTCAAAAGTCTGAATTTAAGTCCTTGTGTATTATATCTATCTTCATATTTAAGCAATGTGTGACTGAGAGTTATGGTTTAAAAGTAAGTTTTTAACTTATTATGTTTAGAAAATTTTCTTGATTTTATTTATATTATAATTTAATTGGTCAACAATCTCACAAATATTCAGATAAATGCATATTTTATTTTTGTTTTAGAAAAATTATATATTAGATTAAGTTTGCCATTGTGAAATATTTAGTTTTAATTGGTAAATGAATAAAACTATAATCATCAAAGAATTTTGTTGAATTAACATGTATGACAATATATATTCATTTATAAAATATATTTTTGATTATTTCAACTTACATTTGTCAATAAAAACATAAATGTTAATAAAAATAATTCTCACCGAAAAACGTGCGTTGCATTCTAATTTTAAATTTAAAGTTCACCTTTGATATACTTGATATGTAACTCAAGTTCTAATTCTGATTTTAATTCAAAATATTAAATTTAAATGCAAACGATTCTTTTCACCAACAATGCAAGAGGTTTTGAACCATAAAATAATTTGAAGTATAAATAAATGAATGTGTCGTATTTCTAAAATTTTCACTTAAATTTTTGAAATATTATTTTCATATTATTTTTTTAAATACAACATTTGAAGTATAAAAAGCTTAACTTAGGAATACAACCAAAACTTGATGACCCTTTACATCCAAAATTGTTTTACAAACATCCATATATAGTTTTATTATACTAGCACATAGTTACATGGATTGCACATGTATATGTGTTATGACTACATTTTTAAGTAAAATTTTTTAAATATAAATAGCTATGTTCTTAATTTATATAGTTGAGTTTATAATAAACATAATTAGAACATAGACATAAATGAAAATTAAAATCATATCTTAAATGACAAAAATTACTTTTTTTTATAGAATTCATATCTCTATCAATTTCCTTTTTATATTGGTGTTAGGAACTTTTGCCCTGCAAGTAGTCCATCTATCATTAAGTGAACCGTTTGAGCTAAAGTTTTGGGTTCATATCTATCTCAATTAATTATTAATTATTGTTTTAAAAAAATTACTAATTAAAATTTATTCCCCTTATAATTTTATAATATAATAAAATAATTTATAAAAGGATGGTTTTTTTTTTTAAATTACACTCATAATCAAGTATTACATTTATATAATCCACAACACTGAATAATTAACTAATAAATTATAACTTAATTAAACAACCAAATTCACATACAATAAGAGTTGAATCTAAGATTTTAAGATTTTAGGACTTCCTTCTTACCACTAAACCACGATCTCATTGCTACTTGTAAGTAGATGTTAATTTTGAAATATAGTAAAACTTTATATCCCTTTATGTCTAATGATATCCATGATATCCTTGCATAATATAATAAAAATAATGTACACATTATTAATATTATTATTATGTTCACTTGTTAATTTTGAAAACACTGCCAGCCCCTTACAATGGCCTATCTAGATGGTTGTTTTTTTTCTTTTTTTTTTTTTGGTAAAATCTATCCATATATCTATCTAGATCTTATATATACATAATTTTTAACTATTGAAACTAGAACATTAAAGTAGAATTTTTTACTATGTATACACAATTTTTAGTAATAATATAAATTATGTTATGTTAAAAAATAAGTATCTTAAAATTAACTTTATCTTTTTTAAAAGTTAAATCAAAGAATAGTATCTGTTTTTTTAGAAGAAATTATTCAATTGGATTGTTATTACTTTTATAATTTTAAATGTTAAATGAGATGTAAGATATGATAATTTAAAATACGACATAATGTGACACAAAAATAATATGAAAAAGCATACGGAAGTAGTACTGTTTAAAATTTTAACAAAAACCATTAGAATTAACAAAATATTGTATTTCGTATTTTTATGTTGATATGAATTGTGACATACAATTTTCGTGTAAAACATTATTAGTATAAATGAATTATCAATATTTTATCCAATTCGAATACACGAATTTTGCAACATGAATTGTGTGATCCATTAAAATTAATTTTTTTTATTATATGCTTCTAATAGTTCATTCATCTCTCAATTACTTTCATCCTTTGAAATTTTATTTGCGTGCATGTTTGCATTGTATAAAGTCACGAGACATTATAAATATTTCATAATTTTTATGTTAATATCTAACTCATTAAAAAATTGAAAAAGAGTTACGCCCGTATAACATCATGCTGGACAAACTACTATTGTTCATTTTTATTTTCCTTACATGAGTAAGTCACGGAATGACAGCTTTAGTTTCATTGGTGTTAACAATTTTTACTTTTTTTTTTAAACAAATTTACTTGATAAATCATATAAGTAGGAGGACTAAATAATTCAAAATTGAAGTGGAGATTGAAATGCACATTTTAAGGACCTGTCAATTACTTAAACCTGTGACCAATAGTTGAATAACTCTTTCCTTTTGATCTTGTGAGGAATGTTGGCTCTGACTTGTTTTTATTTGATTGGTTTTCAAGGGCATTCCCAAATTAGAGGAACTGCGGTTAAGAAAAATTGATGATATTGCAATGGTATGTAATGGCCAGTTTCCAGCGGACTTCTCTCACCAGATAAGACATTTTGCGCTGCATGCCTCCCGTATTGGATCTGCTAGCTTTCCAATTAATTTCTTCCAAATATTCTACAATCTGGAAATTCTTGAATTTTGGAACTGCGACTTAAAAAATCTAGTCTCTTGTGAAGGAGATGTTGTTGAGAAGCCAGATGGAGGGACACTCCTCTCTCGAATTAGAAAGTTAAAATTGAATTATTCTAGAAATCTTACACATATATGGAAGAAAGATTCAGTGCTAGCCCACATTCTTCCTAATCTTGAAACTCTTGAAGTCAAGGGATGTGATGATTTGATAAGTTTTGGATCCTCACCCTCCTCAGCATCTTTTCAAAATCTCACAACTTTGGAAGTGAATTGGTGCAACATGATGATAAACTTGGTTACACCTTCAGTAGCCCTGAATCTGGTACAATTAACGACAATGAGGATAACGGATTGCATTACAATGACAGAAGTTGTTGCAAACGAGGGATCAGATGGAACAACATATAATAGGATAATATTTTTCAGCAAATTGAAATATTTGGAACTCAGCCGTTTACAGAGCCTCGCAAGCTTTTGTCCAGGGAATTACGCCTTCGAGTTTCCTTGTTTGGAAGAATTAATTGTGTGTGGGTGTCCTAACTTGAAGATCTTTTCTCAGGGTGTTTTAAGCACCCCACGACTACGAAGAGTAAAAGAGTCGCGTTATCATCACAAAGGGCGTTGGACTAGTGACCTTAATATCACCATACAACAGTTGTACTCAGAAAAGGTATGTATTAATTCATAACGCTTCCTCCTGATAAAATTTATTTGGCATATTGCCGTTTAATTTTCTTTTATGATTGAAATACTGCCTTCTTCATTGTTTTTGAAATTCAAAAGATATTTATATTAGTTCAATAACTAACAAAGAGTGTTTATTGTTAATTTGTTATTATTTGTATTTGTGAATTGTGATTGTTATCTTTTACCATATATAACGGGTGGAATATATCGCCTAATTGATTAGGTTGGATACCATGACATATATCATTTCAAATTCTCAGACGCATTTCCCGAGTTGATGGAAATATGGAATACCAACCCTCAAGAAATTATGGCCTTCAAAAACCTTGGAAGAGTGGAATTTTGTAATTGTAGCAGCTTGAAATACATATTTACACTCGCTATGGCTTTGAATCTCAAGCAACTTTACCATTTAGAAGTAAAAGAATGCAGTACAATGGAAGAAGTCATCGTGGAGCAAGGCGTTGAGGAGGAACCAACGACAGATAAGTTAACAATATTCCCCTCGCTTTGGAACATAGAAATTGAATCATGTCTCAACCTGACAAGTTTTTATTTGGGAAGTTGAGCTCTTGAATTTCCATCGTTAAAACACATTAGAATAGCTGACTGTCCAAAAATGACTACATTTTCAAGAGATAAGCAGGAAGGGACAACTAGCGATGGAAATGAAAAAAGGCTTGGTCAGGGGGACGTCTATATTACAGCAACCTTTTTCAGCCATAAGGTTAGTTTATTAGTGAAAATTCATTTTTATATTTTTGCATGATTTTGTTTCATTTTTCTTTATGTCTATCTCCCATTTGAACAATAGTTGTACATGCATCTCTTTTATTTTTTTAATTATTTATTTTTTTTTCCCATTTGGAATGGCCAACTTTTATCACATCATATGAGAGTCCATAGGGTTTTGGGTATGTTAAGGTTTTTGTGGGTGTTAGGGATTTATATATGATGCATTATTAGTATATTAAGTGCTATATACAGTTAATGAATCATACAATGACACTTCATAAAAAAATAATTTTAAATATATTTTTAGAATTAAGTGTGTATGCTTTTCAATTAGGCTTTTAAAATTTATTTTTTTTATAAAGTGTCATTGTATATTTCACTGATAGTATAGCACCTATAAATTACAGTATATCAAATATAAATTCAAAGCAGGGTATTTTCATATCCTCTTTCCTCTTTCACGGTGCAAAACTGGCAATTACATATTTGAGTAAGAAGCAGGTGAGTGAGTTGGCCGTGGTCTGTGTTGTGGAAGCATATGGAATGTTGTTTTCAAGGGTTGAGATCCTCTCCATTGGGCTAATGTGCTTAAGCAAATCAAATTTGATTAAACAAAAGCAATGGAGGGAACAAAACCCAACGTGATAAAGTTAATCTTAGTCTTGAGTTTTGACTATCATCATTCCCTTATCATTATAACATACCTATGCACTGAACTCAATGTTTAATGTATTTCTATCTAAAGAACGAAGAGTGATCTTACCATGAGAATTATGTCAGCAGGTTGTCTCTCCCAAATTGAAGAGGTTGGATTTGTCCTCAATTAACATTCAAAGGATATGGCACGAGCAACAACTCCCATCCTCGTTATATATTGAGAAATTAGAATTCTTGAGGGTGAAGAGCTGTCACAATTTGAAATATCTGTTTCCATCTTTCATGGCAAAAGATTTTGTGCAACTCAAAAGCCTTGATATTTGGGACTGTAAGATCATGGAAGAAGTAATCTTCATTGAAGGATTGACAGAAGAAGAAAGGATGAGCCAGACGTTATTCCCTAAACTAGATTTCCTGTGGCTCAAAGACCTTCCCGAACTCACAAGATTCTGCTTTGAACCTTACTTTAAATTCCCATGCTTGAGAATTTTAGTGCTAGCAAATTGTCCTTTACTGAAAACATTCATCTCTAAATCTGTAACTGGAGATGAACCTCATCAAAATACAGAAGGAAGTAACTTGGAGGTTGATAATTCCGCTCTCTTCAATGAAAAGGTGATTCTTCTTTTGTTTTTCCTTTACCATTATTTTCTTCACGAATTATCATTTTAATTTGTTGTGGCTTTTCTTTCATCTGTTAATTTCATCAACCTTGTTCAGTGTTCTTTTTTTTTTTTTTGAACATTTGTTAAATTTGTTATTTTCATACGTATTTCAGTTATTAACCCAATTATATGAATTTATTAGGTGGTTTTCCCTTGTTTAGAGGAGTTGACAGTCACAGGTATGAGGGACTGTAGAAAGATATGGCAGGACCAACTCAACATGGATTCATTTAGCAAACTAAAGAACATACTGGTTAAAGACTGTGAAACACTCTTAAATATTTTTCCCTTTAGCATGATGGAAAAACTTGAGGAACTAGACATGTTGGAGATTGTGAATTGTAATTCGCTAGAAGAAATAATTGAACCACGAGGACTCATTGCTAATGAATCAAATGCAGTAACAGCTACTGAATCTATTGTGGTAGAAGCAGTGACTAAATTTGTATTTCCCAGAGTAACATACCTACGACTTGATGAATTGCCCAAATTGAAAAGTTTCTACTCTAGGATGCATGCTACAGATTGGCCATCATTGAAAAGAATGAAGCTGGTTTCTTGCCACAAAGTAGAGTTATTTGCTTCAGAATGTCTTGGCTTTGGAGAAACTCAAGCAGAGAGCCAGCTGGGTGAAATCTCAAATAAACAACCCCTGTTTTGGGTCAATGAGGTATGAACACAAACAAAATTTGAAAATTCTTCTCATGCATATTAATTGCACCAAATCTTCTGTAACAATTTTATATCATTCATTTTGTGAGATTAGTTCTTTTTATTGTAGCAAGTATCTATTTTGTTACTATAAAACACTGGCGGTTTGCACTTTGCACATAAAATGCTTATTGAAATAACTACTGTTCTCATCTTCTCTTAATTATAAGAAAGAAAAGCAAATGTTCATCTAATTCTTACCAAGAGCTTTGTTGGATATTAAATTATAAGTTGCAATTATACTTTTAACATCCTTTACAAATTTAAGCTCTGTTGTTTAACATATTTGTTAATATACAGGACACTTTCCCTGTCCTAGAAGAATTGACATGGAAGCGGAATGATAAGATGAAAGGGATATGGCATGGACAACTCTCATTGCAGTGTTTCAGAAAACTAAAAGTTCTTAACCTCGAATGCTTTCCTGACACATCAGCAACTGCTCTTCCATATTGGTTCCTTCGGTCATTACCATATCTTGAGAAGATTGTCATAAATGAAGCTTCCTTCTGTCAAATTTTCCAGTTTGAAGGGATCAGCGATGAGGAAAGACATACATCAGCTCTCACTCAGATAAAGGAATTGAGGTTGTCTAAACTTCCAGAGTTGACACATCTCTGGAAAGAAGAATTCAATCCTAGAGCAACTTTATGTAAAATAAGAATTCTTGAAGTGCTGGAATGTGGACAATTAAAGACTTTAGTGCCATCATCGGTGTCTTTTGAAAATTTAACAACTCTGGAAGTTTCAAGATGTCATGGATTCATCAATTTAATAGCGTGCTCAACAGCTAAGAGCCTGATGCTACTAGAAAGAATGAGTATAACTGATTGCAAGATGATAGAGGAAATCATAGCTTGTGAGGGTGAAGAAATAAAAGGTGGCATTATGTTCACCAAACTGAAGTATCTGCGGCTAAGTTGTCTACCAAGTCTAGCAAGCTTTTGCTTAGGGGATCACATCATTGAATTCCCGGCCTTGAGAAAGGTGATTGTGAGAGAGTGCCCAAAAATGAAAATTTTCTGTGAAGGAGTTTTAAGCACACCAAAGCTGCAACAAGTGCAATTGACAGAAGATGAAGATGAAGTAAAAGTGCGTTGGGAAGGCGACCTTAAAACTACTGTAAAGCAGCTGTTCGAAGAAATGGTATGTGTCAATTTAAAGGATTTTCCAATGTTTTTGTAGTTTTTATTTCTTTAATTTTCAGCCACGTTTGCTTTTCCACATCCCACCAAAAGTACTCGTGCAGTGATCTATAAACATAAAGCTATAAACATAAACGAATATAATCTGAAGCTATAAACATAAAGCTTTTAATGTCTTCTTTTTAATAATGTAAATGATTATAAAATGTTATTTGGTGCCTTTCCAGACATAACTAAGTGATCAATTCTTGGTTTTACCTTTCCATGTTGTTGTTTCTTACAATCACAGAATGTCCAAAATTCTGAAGTGATTGAGGTGACCCTTTAGTTGGACAAGCTGGAATAAGGTAATATGTTTTGGTGCTTGTAAGACAATCTCATTTTCCTTTCAATTCAAATCCGATGGAAAGTAAATACCTGTTCTACTCTCATAGTTCTTCATTTTTCCACTTTATTTCCCTTCATCAAGGCGCAATTTCTTTATAGAGTGACGTGGGAGATGCCGTCTGATCGTTGAACGTTGAATTTTTCTACTGAAGTTCGAGACTGGCACTTTCCTTTGAACCCAAAAGGTTATTTCACTTTCTACAACTACGCTATTTGAACAGTTGCATTTTATATTGTAACTTGAATTCTCAGCTTGAATTTCAGGTGCATCATGCATGGCACTGCAAATTACAAACATGTATTCTTTTACTTGCAAGGTCAATCAGCTTAAGACTGCCCTGTTTCGGTATTACGAAAACTTGTTCTTCAAGGTTGATGGATTTTCCAATATGTTATGGATATCATTAATTCTCTCATCCTTCGTCCATTTCAATCACATTAAACGACAGATTAGTATATTCCTTTGCTGGTATTTTCTCTTTTCAATTCTTGACTTAACAATTCTGAGTTATTGGTTCCTCATGGTCAGATAATTTGTTGTAGTTTATTGCTTTCTTACAATTGGAAATTTGACTTGGTTGGATTTGATGTTCTTAATTCCTTATCGGATGGGAGCTAGTTTCTTTATTTGACATTATGGAGGATCAGAGTAGCTAGAGTTGTATTTTAATTTCACTCTACGCTCTTAATCTTTGATGTAAGTGAATCAATTTATTCTTCAGCATAATTTTTATTTATTTATTTTTTTAAAGTTTCTACATAATCCATTTCCAGACATTAGAGAATGCCAAACATAAAGCCGAATGGTGATTACCACTTGTTGAAAATTGAAACTGAATATTGTAATATGAAATCAATTAAAACTGTTTTTCATAAAATAAAAGAAAATGCCCTTCATTTCAACATTGACTTTTTAAAAATATTTATAGAAAACTTTTATTACAAAACAAAGAAAAAGATGAATTATTAATATTCCTTATGCTTGGTGCCTTTTTTTTTTTTTCATTTTACTGTTTTGTCTTTTATTTTTAACATGACAATTTACATTCCTTGATCCTTGTATCCATATCTGATGAAAATATTTTATTTATGACAAATCCATAAGCAGAAAATGTGAATTTCTGTTCTTAGTTTTGGAATTTTGCTTTTACTCATACTAAACTCTTCTATCAGTACTTAATTATAAAACTGCTCATAACAAAATTATCAGATTGTGGTTTTTGAATAAGAAAAAGCTATGGCAATAATATATTGGAATGATTTATTTTAGTCTAGAATTAATACTAAAATTAATATTAGATTTTTGATGGGCATCTATGTACAGATATGAAGCAAAAATGAGATCAAACTTGGCTTCTTGCCTGTGAGACTCAGTGATAAAGATTGTTCTCCTTTGGTTGAGAAAATCACCAAGAGAATTAACAATTGGATGTCTAAGCACCTATGCTTTGCTAGGAGGCTTCAACTTATCCAATCACTTCTCTTTGGTATGCAAAACCTCTAGTGCACTCAACTCATTGTTCCCCAAAAAGTGAGAAAACAAAGTGTCTAGACTCTATTTTGCTTTCTTTTGGAAGGAGAAGGAAAATTATATGATTTGTTGGTTTATAGAGACAAAAAAACTTGTGAGAATGAACAATGACAATATGAAACTGAAAATGTTGTACCACTTTTTTATTTTATGCAACTTCCTTAAATACAAAAGGATTTTAACCTAAAACTAGAATGACTGTTAGTCACAAGGCATGATTTTCCTATTTGCAAGCCATAAACGAAAATCACTAACACACAATTAACTTTCATAAACCAGTAACGCACATCTAACTTTCATAAACCACTAACAAACATCTAACTTCCATAAACCATTAACACACATCTAATTGTTCATCACACATTAGCAGCCTATGTTTGCATAATGTAGCTGATGAGACATTCTTGCAATACTCCTCCTTGCCTCAATAGCTGCAAAGACTTAGTTTACTTTTTAAAGCTTTAAATCTTGCTTTGGATAGGGCTTTGGTTAACACATCTGCAATTTGATCCTCAGTTTTGCAATAAAGCAAACTAACTTCACCTTCTTTTGGCATTTCTATTAAGAAATATAATTTGATCTTAAAGTGTTTAGTCTTGCCATGAAAAATAGGATTATTTGATATTGAAATTGCAACTTGGTTGTCTATATGAATCTATGTTGGCTCCTTCTCTTCTATGTGTAAGTCTGCAAGTATCTTTCTGAGCCAAAGTGCTTGATTCACAGTTGCAATGGCTACAACATATTCAACCTCAGCCGTGTTCTGAGCTATCACTTCTTGCTTCTTTGAGCACCATGAGAACATTCTTGATCCAAAGCTAAAACAAAAACCTATTGTGCTTCTCAGATCATCAACTGAACTTATCCAATCACTATCAGAGCAACCATGGAGCATAAAATCCTAATAGTAAAATTATTTGATACCATAATTTATTGTACCCTTAATATATTTGACAATCCTTTTAGCAGTTTGAAAGTGCACCTCACAAGCATAATGCATAAATCATGAGAGCAGGCTCACTGCAAACATAATGTCTAGTCTACTGGTAGTAAGATACATCAAACAACCAATCAAACTTCTGTACTAATCTTCATCAATTTTGTTTGATCCATCATCCTTGCTAAATTTTTTCATTTGATTTATTGGGGTATTTGTGCATTTGCAATCCTCCATATGAAATTTCTTAAGTATTTTTCATGCATATTTCTTTTGGCATATGAAGACTCTATCTTGATTTTGCTTCACTTCCATTCCTAAAAAATAGGACATCAGACCAAGGTCTGTCATCTCAAATACTTTGAGCTTTTCGACCTTAAACTCCTTTATTAGCTCCTCATCACTTATTGTCACCAGCATGACATCAACATAAGTAGAAACTATGATCAAATTAGCATCAGTTTCCTTTACATAAAACGTAGCTTCACTTAGGCTTTTAACAAAACTAAGACCTAGTAAGTGTTCATCAATCCTGCTATACCAGGGCCTTGGGAGCTTGTTAAGGCTATACAAGGCCTTCTTTAACAAGTAGACCTTTTCCTTTTGTCCTTTAACTTGGAAACCTTCTGGTTACTCCACAAAGATCTCTTCTTGTAAATAACCATTTAAAAATGCAGATTTTACATCCAACTGGTAAGCATTCCATCTCTTTTGTGCTACCAAGGCAAGTAGCATTCTAATTGTATCAAGTCATGCTACTAGAGCAAAGGTCTCAGAGAAATTTACTTCAAACGCTTGAGCATACCCTTTCACAACTAATCTAGCTTTATATTTGTTTACGAAACCATCTGTATTAAGTTTGGTTCTGTAAACCCGTTTGACACCTATAAGTTTTTTATGTTGAGATCTGTCACCAGCTCCCAAGTGTCATTTTTTTTCATCATTCTAAGCTTCTCCTTCATTGCTTTAATCCATTTGTCATCCTTCTTTACCTCTTTAAACTCTGCATGCTTAAAACCAACAACGTTACACCTTTCATAAATATCAAGTAATGGGCTTATGCCTTTGACTAGTACTTCATATATATCATCCTTAGGATTTTACTAAAACCCTGAGTGTTGCTCCTTTTCTGACTCTTCCTAGTTTCATTGTCTATCCTTCATGAACTTAACATCTTTGCTCACAAGAATTTTTTCATTTTATGGTTGAAAAATTTTGTAAGCCTTAAATGAGTTGCTATATCCAATAAAGACTCCTAGTTCTACCTTTTTGTCTAGTTTGTCTCTTTTTACTTATGGCACATAAGAAAAACATAGGCAACCAAAGGTTCTTAGATGTTGTAAGTTTGGTTTATAACCAAACCATGCTTCAAATGAAGTTCTCTTCTACAGAACTTTGGTTGGTAGTCGATTTAGTATAAAAACTACTGTATTTGTAGCTTATGCCTACAATTTCTTTGGTAGCTCTTTTTCATATAGCATACACCTTGTCATCTTTATTATGGTTTTGTTTTTCCTTTCACTTACTCCATTTTGTTGTGGAGTATAGGGTGTCGTAAGTTGGTGCTCAATACGAGCTTTTTCACAAAATTTGTTAAACCTATTAGAAGTGTATTCATTCCCATCATCTAACCTTATTACTTGTATTTTGCAACCACTTTGATTCTCCGCCCATACTTTAAATTTTCAAAATATACTAATAACCTCAGATTTGAATTTAAGAAAATAAATCCAATAGAATCTAGTATAATTATCAATAAAGACAATATAAGACTTACTACCATTTAAAGATGATGTTTTTTTAGGTCTTCCTACATCTGAGTGAACCAATTGAAGCTTATGTGTTGCTTTCCATACAGTTTGAGAAAAGAGACTTCTGACTTGTTTGCCATATTGACAAACCTCACAATCTACCATCTTCTTTTCTAGCAATGGTATTCCTTGTACTAGATCATGTTTTTACATATAAAGAAGTCCAGCATGATGGAAATGCCCAAGCCTCCTATGCCATAATTCTACATTGCTTGTGTTACATGGAAAAACTATATGCTCTTCCTCCATTAGATTCAGAGCAAAGTTTTTTCCTCTCATTTTTATCTTAAATGTATATATTGCCTTTTACATATTTGATCTTATATCATTTGTCTTAGAATAATATTTTGAAACCCTTATCAAGCAGTTGTCCGACACTAAGCAGGTTTTAATCAATGTTAGGCACATATAAAACATCAGTAATGCATTTTAAACTTGTTAGGCTCTCTATGATTACTGTTTCTTTGCCTTTGATTGTAATGTATTCACCATTTCCAATCTTGACTTTGAAAATGTCAGTTTTATCAAGTTTTTTAAAAAGTTCTTGATCATTTATCATATGGTTTGTTCAACCACTATCAATAAGCCAAGAGTCACTAAAAGTATTGCCATTGCAAAGCATGTTGTAACAAACAACTACTCTTTTTAATGTTATTCAGTAGTGACATTTTCTTCATCTCTATGTTTACATGACATGCAAATCTTTTCCATGTGCCTAATCCGATCACATTTTTTGCATTGTATATCTAGCCTCCACCAACACTTTTTCTGTAAATGACTGGTCTTCTTGCAGTATGGACAAGGTGGATAAGTTCCATCCTCGATTTTGTTGTTACCTACATTATTGCCAAGCTTGTTATTGTTTTGCTTCCTATTATTTCTTTTTCTCTTTGCCTCTTCTTGAATTTTGTGCCTTTTCTTGAAACGCACCTTCCATAGAATTCTCTTGTCTAATCATCATTTTTTATTCTTATGCCTGTAATGCATTCACCAACTCTGCCAAAAAATACTTGACAGATCCTTTGACTTCTCTAAAGAAGAGATTTTAGCCTCATATTTCTTAGGTAGTGTAACTAGAATTTTTTGCATAATTTTCTTATCAGAAAACTTTTTACTAAATAGTCTTACCTTGTTCACAATATTGAGCAGCTTGTCAAAGTACTATTTGATGGATTCTGACTCTTTCATTCTTTGTATCTTGAATTCTCTAATCAAATTCAGCACCTACATGTTCTTTGTCCTCTCTTTGCCTTGGTATTCTTTCTTGAGATATTCTTAGATTCTTTGGTTGATTGTAGGTTCATGATTCTGATGAATATTGTGCTTGAAACTGCAGAATATAAGCAAGCTTTTGCTTTTGACTTTTTGGTCCTTTTCTCTTTATGATTCTTGAGCTGAGTAATTGTTGGATTAGTAGGTAATGCAGGAACTTCATAGTCATCCTCCATTGCTTCCCACATATCCA